CATGAGTGATCCTGAGGAAGGCATTGGCCAGTCTAAACCTCAGTTTTTCCATCTGTAAAATGGGCTCATGATGACTCCAGGGACCACTTAGCGGATGGGATCTGAATGGTGGTAGCAGCACAGGGGCCGAGTGAATGGGAAACCACTAACCAAGACTGAGAGGTCGTCCAGCTTGAAGATGTCATCAGGGACTCCAGAATTCTTCAGGCTGTTGGCTCGAGCCACGATGGCCTGGGGAATAAACCATGAAAGCCTGTGAGTCCTGGCTTCCATCCCTAGAAGCAGAGGTCAGGGAGGAAAACAGCCTCAGGAAGCCCACCAGTCTGAGCAGTCTCCTACCACGGCCTTTGCTTATAGTCCCTCCACTTGGAAAGTCATTTATATCCTTCTGATGAGCTTCTATTCAGACCTCAAGGCCCAGTTCAAATGTGCCCCAGAGATCAGCACAGGGTCCTCAGGGAATGTTTTCTGATCAAACAATCCCTCTTCTTCCTAATTCCAAATGGCAAAATAGAGGTGTAGGGGCCTCCCTGGTGGCAAAAGGGGTTAAGCATCAGCACCATGAAGCTATCTGCAGCTAGTGCAGCACAAGTTTGATCCCCGGCCAGGGAGGTGACCCACATAGCACAACAGACCTCTCGCCCACTGCTCCCCTCAGCAGTGTATTTTAGTAGATCCGCCTGTTCTGCTCCCCACTCTGCCTCTGGTGAATCCTCACCATCCCCTCCACATCTGTGGCCTATACCCCAGTTCCCATATGCATAAATAAATCTTTAAAAAAAATAGGGGTGTAGCTCTGAGCTAGGGACAGAGGTAGAGAAGCCAGTGTGGACTGAGAGCAAACCTGTTCTCTCTCCCCTTTCAAGATGAAACCTCATGCTACAGACATGCAGAAAGTTCGAGGGAGAGAAAGGACAGGCCAAAGAATGGTGCCTTGATTGCAAATGACAATAATGCAGCCACCAACTTGCCTCCAACCCTAATGTCTGTGAGGAGCCACAACGCTGCTTCACAGTGGCTGCCTAGAAGGTGGAAGGTCATGCCACTAGAAAGTGGCAGAGTCCAGATTTGAACTCAGGCAGCCCACATCCAGAGGTGGGACTTTAACATCTCAGGGCTGCAGCCTTGGACAGTAATCACCCTAAAACCTGAAGGCTCTGGGATGGCTCCCAAGTGTTCTGGGATGTCAGGGGCCCATGGAGAGCAGAAGGGCAAGAGGACCACCCTGATCATCTCCGCTTTCTGGCCAGACCTCACCATACCCAGCTCTGCCACTGCCTGGCAATGGGACCTTAGGCAAATGAGCTGCCTCTGTGGTCAAGTGTCCCACCTGTGAATTTGGTGGAGATCAGGATTATATGCTATAGAACAGTTGATATCATTTTATTATTGGAGTTAGTTTCCAAAGTGGGTTGCAGTTCTTTTCTTCTCTCCCCACGGATGCCAACCTGCAAGGTTGCTCAGTTCCTTAACACAGGGCGTTACTGTATCCCCTCCCCTTTCTGAATGGCCCCCAATTCTGACTCAGTGATGGGCACAAGCGCTGGTCCAGCCTGAGGGCATGACCTTGGCTGGATTCTGGCCCCCCACCCCCAAGCTCAGTGAAGTCCCAGCAGCACTCACCCGCAGCGATGGCAAGCTGGACAGCTCCCCATGAAGTGTGGTCAGATTGTTGTGGCTCACAGACAAGTGCTCCTGGGCCAGGACACAGGAGAAGAGGTTCAACAGTGTGGGTGGGGTGTCTACAAAGTCCCCACCTGCCACCACAACTTGACACCACCTGGAAGGGCCCTTGGTCACACCGGCCAAGTTAACCTCTTCAGCCACCCTCCCTCACAGACCCTGCCTTTCTTGCACACTTCCTGGACAGGGCGCTTACCCCCTCCAGCAGCTGTGTCTGCCTTCTGTGCAGGCCCTGCCACCTGGCCCAGCCCAACCCACAGGACACTCCCTGCCCACCAGAGTTCCTTACCAGCTTCTGCAGGGCAGCCAACTCCTCTGGCAGGTAGCAGAGGCCAGTGCGGTTCAACTTCAACCATCGCAGACTGGTCATGGCCTTGACATTCTCAGGGAAGTAGCCACCCTGGAGGTAAGAAGTGGTGAGGCTGGCCTGGGATCGGGGATCCCTGCTCTGTGGCCCCCACCTGGGAACCTTTGGGGGGCAGTAGAGCCAACTCTCACCATCTTTGTGACTCTAGACTGGTCATTTTGCCACTCAATGCCTCAATTTCCTTACCCCTAAAATAGGTACAATATTAGACCAGTCACAACAAAACGGGTGTGAGGACCAACTAATTATCAGGATGACTGTTAGCCTAAGATCTGTCTCCCTCCTGAATTCTAAGCTCCAGGAGGGTCAGGACAGAAAGGACTTGATATAAGTGACACCCCCAGTGCTCAGCTGGTTAGCTCAGCTCAAAATGCCTTTGCCAGCATTCCAGGCCCTGTCTGGAGTGGAGGTACCAACTAAGTCTCTGCCAAGGCCTGCCTGTGCCCCTAGCCTGCCCAAGGCACACAGTCATTTGTGTGGCAAGGTCCAAAACCCGTGCATGAGGCCCTAACTCCTCATTCAGGCACAGGCACAGTCTTGTTCATTCATTTATTCCCTATATTTGAATGTTCACCTCAGTAGCCCAGCCTGGGGGCAGGGAGCCTGGGGCCAGCAGCATGTGCCTTCAGTGCCCTTGGCCGATGTCCCCTCACCCCTGCAGTCGCATTCCTGACTGGTGACTCAGAGTCTTCCAGTCCAGGGACAGCTTGTGAGTCCCCAGGTGAGGACAGTAAGGATGGGGGCAGAGAAGGGTACTGCGCTGCCTGGCCGTGGAGTGAAAGGAAAGGTGTGTGCCGCATGTGCATAAATGCAGAAGAGCTTGCCTGCTCCTTGGCTCCCGTCTCAACCCTGACCTCAGCCAAAACCTGGGTCCAGGTTGAGCCTCCTGTATCAGGTCAGGGCCTGGCCATCTCTCCCCTCTGCTCCCGCCCCGCCTCCTCTCTGGCTGTGGGCACTGCCCACCTCATTCTTGACTCTAGAGCTGCCTCACCCCCCAAGGACTGAAAGGATGGGCTGGTCTAGCAGCCCAGCAGCTGTTTAGAAAACTGGCCCCAGGGCCTGGAACACCTGCTGGACACTCCACACCAACTAGCCCATGCCTCCAAGGGGCTACTTTTATGCCCTTTCACCGGATAAGAAAACCAAGGCAGGGAAGGGGGAAGTGGCTTGCCCCAGACCACACAGGGCGGGGGTGGCAGCGGTGGGGACCGGCAGTGGCGAATCCGCTTCGGACCCGCCCCCGGCAGCCGGCAAGGAGACCGTGAGTCAGGGCCTCGCCTGGGCGTGTGACTTCAGAGGCGGGGAAGGTGGGCCGGGGCGTCAGAAGCTGGAGCTCCCTGACCCCCGGGAGACTCTCCAACGTGGGTGAAGCCAGACCCCGGGGCGCGGACGCGGGGTGGGGGCTCCCCGCCCGCCGGCTGGCTGCACCCAGGCCCAGGCGCCCACGCCGGCCCTGCCAGCCCTCGTCTGCCGGCGCCGGCGCGCAGCGGAGACCTCGGCGGTCGGGCCGGGGCCGGGGCCCGAGCCCCGGGAGACCCCGCCCCGCCCCGCCCGCAGTCCCGGCGGCGTCCGGCCCGGAGGCGGGCGGGGCAGGAAGAGGAGCCGGCGCGGGCCGGCGCGGAAGGGACGGCCTGGGGGGCCCGGCCCGCCTCTCCGCCGTCTCACCTTGAAGTCGTTGCCGCTGAGGTCCACGCCGCGCACGAACGGCAGCACCCCGGTGGCCTCCATGGCGCCGCGCTCGCTGCCGGGCCGGACTGGACGCGGGGGGCGGCGGGGCGAGCCGCGGGCTGGGCCGACGCCGGCCCCGCCCCTTTAACCCGCCCCCGCCCGGGCGGCGGGAGCGCGAGCCCGGGCCGCGCCCCTCGAGATCCGGGGGACCCCGGGCGCTTGGCTGGGGGCGCCGGGCCTCGGCGGGGGCTGGAGAGGTCCCGGGGTTTCGGTTTCCATGTCTCTTCGGCCACCGGAGAAGCCTCGAGGAGTCGGGCGGCCCCTGTGCTCACGCAGGAGCCCCCGCCACGTCCCAGCGCCCCAGATTCGGGGTGCGCTAGGCGCTGCAGGTGCAGCAGCTGAAGTTGGGAGAGATTCTGGACCTAGGTCGGGGCGCGGGAGGCCAGGCCATTTCTGTCCGCGCTCTGGTCGCTCTAGGAGCAGGAACAGCCGGTCCCCGGCGCCGGGCGTCCTGGCAAGCCCTGGGCCTGCTCCCGCCGCAGTTTCCCGTCTCAGAACTGTGTGCGGTTCCCTCCAGAAGCGAAGGCGCAGACCCAAGTGCAGCGCAGGGCACGCGGCGGGCCCTGCCCGCGACCCTTCTCATTCTTGCTTAGAACCAACACCCTCTGCCCGTGTATTTGCTCGTTCGAACACGTCTCCCCACACACACCCTCAACATAAATAAGTGCCTAATACGTAAGCGCCCCTAATAAATAATTTATTTTTATAAAAGCCAAATGAGCACAGTCATTTTTTGCAGGGGCCTGTGGTGTCCCTTTGCCCAGGCGAGAAACTGAGGCGGGGGTGAAGGGACCCGCGCCAGGTCGCGCGGAGCGGGGGGCGGGCGCCGGGTCCGGCCGAGTCAGCAGGGGAGGGGGGGTCACCGCGTCCTTCTCCCAGAAGCGCACCCGAAGGGTCAGACTCGGACCTCGGGGCCGGACGCCGCCAGCCTGTCCCCTCCGGGAAGGGCCGGGCCGGGCCGCGGTCTGCGGCTCGGAGGCTCACATGACCACGCGGCCCGGGGGCTCGGGTCACCCCACACCGCGGGGTACCAGCGCGGACCGCGGATGCCAGGCTGGGAACGCGCCCCTGCGCCTTTAAACCCGGAGCTCGTCGGGGAGCCCCGCCCCCGAGGGAGCGCCGCGGCCCAAGAGGGGGCGCGGCCTGCCCCCCATTGGCTGAGCCGCTCGCCGTCTGCGCGCCTGCGGGGTCACCGGCCGCTCCCGGGCCTCGGCGTTCGGTTCCCGGGGCCTCCGCGTTCCATCCCCCGGCGGGCGCGGACTCTGGGGCCCGAGGGACCTGTCGGGGCGCTGCAGGCGCGACCAGGTATGGCTGCAGCGGGGCGGGGCGACCCCTGTCACGCAGCCGGGCCCGGGGCGCGCCGCGGCGCAGGTCGGGGGCGTGGCCTCCGCCGGGGGCCGCGGTCACGACCGGAGAGAGAGGGAAGTTGGGTCGGGAGGCGAGAGTTCGAGTCCCCGAGCCTGCCCCTCCCGTCAGTACATCGCCTGGTTTCCCGGGACCGCACGCGCCCCCCGTGAACCGCGCCCTCACGGGCCCTCCTGGAGCGCCCCGCGCAGCCCTCGCCCTTGTCCGCGGTTGGGCAGAGGGGGGGAGCACGGGCGGCGTCCCAGGGCCGGGTGGCGTCCGGCGTGGTGTCGGGTTATTTTTAGCCACCCGCACCCTCTCCCCCTTCCCCGACTTGGAAGGCTGGAGGTTGAGACTTGTGCGACCCCGTCAAGGGACTGGGTTGAGTCCCAGTTTAGACTCCGGGCGGGTGGTGTTTAAAGCTCTTTACAGTGTGCGGAGGGGGGTTCTGGCCCTGCTGGAGAAGGTGGGAGTATTGATTGCCCATGAGGACACTAAGCTGTAGGGCCGTGGCGGGTCACCGAGCTAGCCTCTGCCAACCCAGGAGCCCTCTTGTCTTATTTTTAGCCTGGGAGAGTTGGGGTGGGGGTGGAGTGTTGAGATGGAGTTCCAGTGCCTCGGGTTTCAGCTGCTCCAGGCATCCTGTCACCTGGCAACTGAGTCCCAGGCACTCACAGGGGAGCCCAGAGGGCAGACGTCCTTGGTGCCTGAGTTGGCTCTGAGTGCATGGTCATCTGCTCAAGCCTCCTCTACCTGGTGTAGGACTGGCCCTCTAAGCTTGCCCCTTGGTCACGTACACCCTCAACTCTCAGAATTGCCTCCCCCTATTCCCCCCAAGAACCCGGGGCTATGGCTTGGTGGGCTGTGCCCAGGGAGAGATCTCTGTCACACTCTGGGCTCCTCACTTCTTTTTTTTTTTTTTTAAAGATTTATTTATTTATGCGTACAAGAACTGGGGTACAGGCCAGAGATGTTGGGGGGAGGTGGTGGTGGTGAGAGGATTCACCAGAGACAGAGCGGGGAACAGAACAAGCAGACTGACTGAAATACACTGCTGAGGGGAGCAGTGGACAAGACAGGAGAGGCTGGGCCATGTGGGTTGCTCCCTGGCTGGCCGGGGATCGAACTCGTGGTGCAGAGGCTGCGGATTGCTTCATAGTGCGGCGCTTAACCCCTTGTGCCACCAGGGAGGCCCAAGATTTATTTTTTTAATACAAGAACCGGGATGCAGGCCAGATGTGCAGGAGGGTGGGAAGATTCACCAGAGACAGAGTGGGGAACAGAAAAGGCAGACTGACTAAAATACACTGCTGAGGGGAGCAGCGGGCGAGGCAGGAGAGGTCTGCCATGCCATGTGGGTATCTCCCTGTCCGGCTGGGATCGAACCTGCGCTACAGAGGCTGTGGACAGCTTCACAGCGCTGTACTCAACCACCTGCGCCACCAGGGAGGCCCTGGGCTCCTTACTTCTAACCCTTCCTCACCACCACCTGTGCAGTTTTACAGTTGAGCAGAGGGTGCGAGAGTGTGTGCTTGTGTGTGTGTGTGTCTTCCTCAGCTTACCTTCTCTGTTGTTTAGCCTCCCGGTGACTTCCCCCAGCCCCCATTGTCCCAAGCTGAAGAGACCCTGAGAGGCATGGATCATCCTCCGTTCGGGGTTTAGGGTTATATTGACTGGCTGCCCACCCCCCCGCCCTGCCCCCGGCAGCGGGTCTTCTTCCTTGACTGGCACGTACCTGTCTACAGGCAGCATCATCCTTGGGTTGTCTCACTCGTCCTGCTCTCTGACTTAGTGACTTTGCCTTGTTAGGATTTGGGGCTTCTGCTCTTCACTGAGGTCTTCCCAAAGTTTTGAGAGGCCTTCTGGAGGCAGGCTTCCTGGGACCCCACATTGTGGTTTTCTCTGGGCCTTGGTTTTCTCCTCCTGTGCCTGGCCCTGGTTAGGAACAGAAACAAGGCAGCCTTGGGGACCTGGCTATAGACCTAGGAGGACTGGCCAGACCCTGGGGGTAGGCAGAAGTCTAGAGGTTTTATAGCCTGCAACCTAGTGTGGTTCTTTCTACAGCTTTTCTCTATAATTTGGGGGACCCACTTCTTGGGTCCTTGGTGATAGGATGTCAGGTGTTCTGGAGGGAGAGATCAGGAGAGATGGGCCCCCTTCTCTCACCTGCCACAGGGTTCAGGACTTTTCTGTGTGAGCAACCCTGTCCCAAGGGGTGGGTGGGTTGTTTGTAGCTTTGGGGGAGGGGGCAATGGCAGTACCTCCTCTCCTCCCAAGAAAGCATGTGTGTGTGACCCCTTTCTCCTGAGAAATTCTCAGGAACTCCCCCTGTTGGGCTCACCTCTCAGAGACCCCAAGATGGCAGCCAGAATGCCTGCCTGCTCCTGTCCTGCTGCTATCCTGGCCACCCCCACCTTGAGCCATCCCTGCAACTTGACTCTCTTACAGGCAGACCATGGCAGACTTCACCCAGAAACGGGGGAAGAGGCATGATGATGAGGTGCTGGGCAACGCTGTGGACTTCCTCTTGGCCAATGCCCGCCTAGTGCTGGGTGTGGGCGGGGCTGCCGTGCTGGGCATTGCCACCCTGGCTGTGAAGCGGGTAAGGCCAGACTCTGCCTTGGGGCTTCCGGGGGACAGGAGGTCTGGGACCTCCCGCAGGCCTCCGGGAATATAGTGGGGACTACCCAAGGCTGGCACCTACTTCTCTACCCTCTACCCAGGATTTAGTTGGTTTCACCCCTGCCTTTGCCTTGGCTGCTCAGGTTATGATGCTCTGATCTCTGTCACTCTGCCTCAGCTCATCGACAGGGCTACCAGCCCGAGGGATGAGGATGATGCCAAGGGGGACACCACACGTCTGGAGGACAGCTGGAAGGAACTGAGCCTGCTCAAGCCCAAGCCACGCCTACGGCGCCGGCCTCCCCCTGCTGCCCTCAGCCAGCCCATGCCACTCCCAACCCCCGCGTCCTCTGTGGCAGGTGATCAGCCCCCTTCCCCCTTTTACCTGGGTGGGTCCCCCTTTAGTGCTCACATTCAGGAGATGCAGCCCAGGCTCTGCCACCGATGATAGTGGACGTATCAAGTCCCTGCTCCACCAAAGACCCACGCTCCCTGCATGTTCAGTGGCGGCATGTGCCTGCCCTCCTTTCTGCCTGGTGGTGCTGCGGCTCCAACCACCTGGGCATATGGACTGTGGGGGGAGGTACCAGAGCAAGGCGGCAGAACATAGTGTTAGGGGCTCCAGATGGGGAGATGGAAGCCCAGGAGCCATCTCCTCACTCTTCATGAAACTGTTTTACTCCCAGGGAGTTGGGATGTGGAAGAATTTGTCATCACATGCATGCTTTGTGGGGAGCTGAAGAACCAGTGCTACCTTAGGGGGCCATTTCACAGGTGAAGAAAATGAGGCCCAGAGACATCACATAGCTAGTAATTGGGGAGAGTTCCCTTGGCTCACTATGGACCTTCTGACCTGGCCCCTGACCCCTTCACTCTGCAGGGAGGCCCAGAAATTCTGGTCCTCAGACATTGCCTCACCTTAGCTTCCCAGCACCACCGTGCCTGACGTTCCAGGAGAAGCTACTGGCATTCGAGCGGGACCATGTGACCATCCCAGCGTTCCACGTTGCTCTGGCCAAACAGCTGGCTGGTGACATTGCCCTTGAGCTGCAGGCCTACTTTCGGAGCAAGTTCTCAGAATTGCCCTTCGGGGCACTGGTGCCCAGTGGTCCACTGTACGATGGGCTGCAGGCAGGAGCTGCTGACGATGTGCGTATCTTGGTGCCCCTGGTGCTGGAGCCAGGCCTGTGGAGCCTGGTGCCTGGCCTGGACACTGTGGCCAGGGACCCTCGCTGCTGGGCTGTGCGCAGGACTCAGCTTGAGTTCCGCCCCCGTGGGAGTAGTCCCTGGGACCGCTTCCTGGTAGGTGGCTACCTCTCTTCCCGTGTCCTGCTGGAGCTGCTCCGCAAGGTGCTGGTTGCCTCTGTCAACTGGCCGGCCATTGGTGGCCTCCTTGGGTGCCTGATCCTGCCCAGTGTGGCCTCAGAGGAGCTGCTGCTCCAGGTGCAGCACGAGCACCTGGAGCTCACTATCGCTGTGCTCCTGGCAGTCACCAGCACCGACGTCCATGACTGCCTCCTCCTGGCCTGGCCCCTGGAAGGGATGGCTGGGAACCTCTGGCTGCAGGACCTGTACCCGGCAGAGGCTGCCAGGCTTCGGGCTTTGGATGAGCGCGATGCTGGGGCCCGGCGGCGGCTGCTGCTGCTGCTGTGTAGTATCTGCCGTGGCCACCCAGCTCTGGGCCGGCTAGGCCGGGGCCACCTGACCCAAGTGGTTCTGCGTTTGGGGGAAGAGGAGGTGGACTGGGCTGAGGGAGCCTTGAGGGAACGTTTCATGCAGGCTCTGGAGCTGCTCATTGGAAGCCTGGAGCGGGCCAGCCTGCCCTGTCACTTCAACCCTGGTGTGAACCTCTTCGGCAGCCTGCGTGAGGTAGAAATTGATGACATTGGCTATGCGCTGTACAGCGGCCTCCAAGCCCCGGAGGGGCTGCTCTAGAGGGTAGGGACAGGGAGGCCAGCACATGTTGTGATGCTGGTGAGCTGTACACACTCCTTCCAGGAGTTTGGAGAGCACGTTTTTTTTTCGTTGCTTTTAGCCAGAATAAATGAGGGTGTGCTACCTAAGCCCACAGGATTAGCATGAGCTGGGGGTGAAAGTCAGCGGAGCCCTGGGCCTGGAGAGCCTGGGTTGCTGTCACCTAAGTGCACCTGGGCTGCCACTTAGACAGCCTGGAGGTCCAGCCACTCACACTCCTTTCCAGCCTCAGGACCCTGGGCTCTGTCCATTGCCACCAGCAGTGAACCACTGACAGAACATGACTTCTGCTGCCTCCATTTTTCATTTGAGAGGGTAGGTTAGCGCTTCCTCAGGTGCCAGCTCTGGCATCTCGTGGCCCTGGTGCCGAATGGGAAATACCATGTTTGATTCATCCCCCAGGGCCAGAGTCAACTGGTACCCATGGGATGCAGCATTTAAAGGATGGCATTTTCCAATGGCATCTGTCTGGTTTGCTTGTCAAGCTCTTCAGGCTAGAGCAGGCGCTCAGCCTGACATGCTGCCTACCTCGGGGGACGGCCCCTCTCCCTTCAGCTAGGATGCTTCCTTTGGGCAGCAGTTTCCTGGATGAGCCCCCTTGCCCCGAGCCCAGAGTCCCACCAGCTGCTAGTGGGCCTGGCTGGAGAACAGAGGCTGGGGAAGGCCTGGTGTGCAAGGCCAGCCTCCACAGTGCCCAACAGCACTGCTTCTGGCTGGTGCCTATGCTCTCACTGACACCTGGTGGGGGGGGGGAAGGGAGGAGGGTCTGCCTGCCCTTCCAGGTGTCCCTCCTGTCTGGTGGCCTTCCTGCTGAAGCAAAGCTATGCCTCAGAGAATGTGAATGCAAATAAAAGGAAAAAAATCGAACATGTGACTTGTGCTGGGCTCTCAGGGGCAGTTGTTTAGAGTCTGCAAGGCCTGTGGCTTGGCCAGAGGGCTTGGGCTCTACCTGGGGGTGGTAGGAATTAACTGGAAAAGCAGGTTACATGGAGGTGGAGAGTGCTGGTAGGATGTCTTGCTTTAATAATGGGAACCAACTGGTTAGGGTTTGCACATTCCCAAAAGCCTGAACTCTGGTGCCCGCTCTGCTTTCTGGGGTGGCCTCAAAGCCCTTCAGCCAACATCATCAGCTTTCAGAGATGTAATTTCTCTACTTCCCTTGGCTCTCCTTGCAGCCCTAGAGGTGGGGGGCAAGTTCCCCACCTTGTACAAACAGGGGAGCAAGTGCAGCTGAAGCCATAGGTGGGACTCACAGACAACACGAGGCCTGGGGTAGTCTCTGGGCCGTGTGCACTTGGGGTGCCATTCCCATTGTGCCTCTTTCCCATCCTGTTCTATTTCCTGAGGCAACCCCACACCACTTCCAACTGTGACTATAAGACAAGCGGATCCACCGGATGTCTCCCCTTGTCCTCAGGGCGGTCACACGGAACAGAGAGGCTGTGTGCACCAATGGCTGCAAGACCAGGGTGGCCTCTAGAGGCAATGAGGGCTCTGCCCTCACTACCATGTGGAGGTGGAAGGGTGTTGGGGGCTGTCCAGACACCTTGGTGCTCCACAGAAGAGGCTATAGATGGTCAAAGGGAGACTGGCTGGCATGGGCCACACAATCCTGTGGTTGAGCTGCTCCTGAGCGTTGACTCATAACTGAGCAGCGTAATGGCAGATTAGGGTTGGCAAGGGAACAGGGGCTGAGCCTCGGTGTTCTCATCAATGAAACAGGGATTGTGTAATACCTACTTTATGGGGCAGTTGTAGCAGCCACTCCTGCTAGTAACTACTGGGAACAGCGTTAACTGCCCTCAGAATGAGATTGTTGTGCCTTGCTGCCTCGCTCATTGACCAACGACAAAGCCTGAGCACAGCAAGGACTAGGCTGCCAGGCCCGTCTGTGACGTCTGCTCATGAGGATTTCGGTCACCTACTAGTGAGGCCTGGCCTCAGGGAAGTGAGGTCAGCTCACAGCCTGACAACCAACCCCAACAAGGCCTGATGCAGCTTCTCTGTGGAGCCTCTTGCTTCAGGTGGCTCTGATGTTCCCCTCACACCTTGATTTTAGTATGAAAAAGAGCAGTATGAGTAAATAGGGAGAGAAAAGTAAATGTCTGGGGCTTCAGTTTCTAGTCAAGGAATTGGAAACCAATCATTTCCCGGGAACCTTTGCAGACTCTTGTGAGCAGGGCTGTGCCAACACACAGCCACCCTGGCATAGCCCTGCTCAGTTCCACTCCTTTAAACCCAAGAACAGTTCCAACTCTGTCTGCCTGCAGTACACCAGATGCAGCCTCAGCCCAGGGCCTAAACATTTTAGTACTTAGACCCTTGGGCTGTGGTGGTAAAACAGGCAACCTACTTCCTTGGTTTAACTTTACAAAGTGACCAAAAGCAGGAGTTCTGGTGATGGGTATGGCTGACTCCTCTTGCTCAGAACAAAGGACTACCACTGCAGGTAAACAAAAGTAATCCAAGAATAGCAAACAGCTTCCTCATGGAAGACATCACCCATCAATCCTCTACACTAACTCAAGAATAAACCTCACCATAAATGAGATGCATTCTTATTTGGGGAAATCCACTTTCAAGCCCTTCTCTTCATGAATACTTAGCTGCAGGAGAGTCTGCCTCCAGCGAAGTGGGGGGGTGCCATCCAAACCCCAGGAGCTGCCCTGACCAGTTGTTTCAATCTCGATACTAAAAAAACCCCCAAAGTTTTGAAGATAATATTTACACAAATTTCTCATTAGGAGAGTCCTAGGAATGGAGAGTGTTCAAATGTTCAGATTCTGAAGGATCCTGTCAAACTACATTCTAAAAGGACTTACGTCAGCAGGTCTGCAAATCACTCCAAGGCACCAAGCTGTGACTGGTGGGCCTGGAGCAGAAGAGAAACTGGCCCCATGTTTGAGAGTTGAAAGCGCACGTGAGCTCCAACACCCGCTGCCGTACTGTTCACTAGTCTTACACAAGGGTTTATTATTTCCAGTAGAAATGGGGTACGAATCATGTGCCCACCAGCAAAACCTGTGTCTGGGGTGCAATACATCACCGTGGGCAAACGAAGGCGGTTCAGTATCAGCTGAGGAGCCATCTGGACCAGACTCTAAGGCACCAGAACCTACCTTGAGAACAACTGCCTGAGCTAGCGTGCAAGGCTTACTGTTGGTCTCAAATGGGTCCTTTCTCTTCAGACAGGACTTAGCTGGCCATAAGACTGGGTCTCAGAGCCCCGGGGTACAGACTCAGAGTTTGCAGGGGCTCTGGAGCACACGTGTGCCTCCTCGGGACAGAAAGGCACTGGGCTCCGCGTGGGTCAGGGCCAGGGTCCTGCCCCACCTCTGCCCTGTTCTAAAATGAGGAACCTCCAACCTAGAATTAATCACATATTTGCATTTTTCAAAATTATGTTTTTCTTTTGTAATCAGAAAATAGTCTTTAAATAAGCCCAATAACATTATAATTGGGGCACACTTAATGCATTGAGAAGTTACAGCTGCAGTGGATGACCCCCAGCAGTGTATCCCAGAGAACATCACGCACGACTCTGGACGCTGGCTCGGATCACCAGTGCCCAGTTTCCTAGACTCCAGTGACATCATGACCAACTTTCCAGTCCAACCCTGAGCTCTACCCCACAGTTACACTGGTGGTCTAAGGCAGAGGTGGGGCACCCACATTTGTCCCTCACAAGGAGCAGCCAGTATATGAGCTGAACCTGCACCACCTTTGTATTCAGGTGGAACTGAGATGCTGTGCATTGTGATTCTTAAGTCTGAATACTTCTGCGCTGCAACAGGCACTGTGAATTCACCCCTAAGGGTAGCAACAGGGTCTCTGCCTGGCACCCCGAGAACTGATGCCTGATTCCAGCATGCTGGGAGACACTGGAAGCAAAAGCCAGCTGCCAGGGGAGATGACTTATTTTTAGCTTCCAGCTGTTCCAAGAGTTAAGATGAGGGACAGAGGCCCTCACCATCAGCAGCTGTGCTGGTCAGCTGATCAGCCACCCAGCTTGTCGGATGGGGATGGCAGAGGTGCTCTTAAGGCTAGAGTGCCCAGGGTGGGTCTCCCCACCTCAGCACAGAGAGCAGAATAGACTTTTCAAGAGCTCTGAGGTGTAGACTTGACAACAGAGACTAATTTTCAATTCCAGCCTAGACGCTTGTAGAAGGCACTTCCCATCGGAGCCTGTTTCCATCACTGCATGGGCAGAAGGCACTGCTGGCCGGGGAGACGGGAGGCTAAGGAAGCCAGCCAGTGCCCAGCCGAGGTATGGGCTCAGCAAGTAGAGCTCATTTCTGCCACTGTCTGGCGCTACATATGCTGCAGATGGAGTTCAGTATATGGGGGGTTCAGTCCTTCCCAGTCACTGCCAGGTGGGAAGGATCCGTTTCTCACTGCACTGAATGAGGTGAGCCTGAGGGGCCATTGAGACTTGGAAATTCCCTCAGAGGTTTTGTGAAGTTCTCACTGCAACTGGGTGTGACTACAACACTCCACCAAAAAGCTTCAGCTAAATAACTCCCTATCGTAGACAAGGCTGTGCAGGCTCAGCAGTCTGGTGATGGAGTCTGGACCTGAGCTAGGGCTGGCCTCCATCCCATCCACCCAGCCGATCTCGGTCTCAGCACACACGTTACCTGTGCACAGATCAAAACCCACAAATGCATCTAGTACCGAGGTTCTATGAAGAACTGCAACTCACCGACCACAAGACCAGCAATCCAACTACAAAATGGGCAAAGGACTGGAATAGACATTTCTCCAAAAAGACACATCAATGGCCGATATACAAATGAGAAGCCACTCAACATCATTTTTCATCAGGGAAATGCAAATTAAAACTACAATGAGATGCTATTTCACACCCCTGAGGATGGTTAAAGTTTTTTTTCAAAACATAAGTGCTGGCAAGGGTACAGGAAAACAGGAACCCTTGTGTGTTGCTGGTGGGAATGTAAAATGGTGCAGCTGCTGGTCAGCAGTCCCTCAAAAACTTAAAACAGAAATATCCTGTGACCCAGCAACTCCACTCCTAGTAATGTGCCCAGAATAATTTAAAACAGGAGTCCAAATACTCGCACACACATGTTCACAGCAGCAGCATTCACAGCCGCCACGGGGTGGAAACAACTGCCATGGAGTATTATTTGACCCTAAAAACCCAGTGCAGTTGCCACCCCCTTATCTGTAGTTTTGCCTTCCTCGGTTTCAGTTACCTGTGGTCAACCATAGCATGAAAAAATATATACAAGATATTTTGAGAGAGATCTCACTCACATAACTTTTATTAGAGTATATAGTTATAATTTTTCTATTTTATTATTAGTTATTATTGACCTCCTACTGTGCCCAATTTAAAAATTAAACTTTATCATAGATAGGCACATACAGGAAAAGAATCACAGCATGAATAGGGTCAGTACTGTCTGCAGTTTCAGGCATCCAGTGGGGGGCTGGGGTGCCCCCACGAATACCCTACTCTACTGACACATGCTAAATGTAGATGAACCTTGCAAATAATATGCTAAATGAAAGAAGCCAGACACAAAAGATCACCTAACCTAAGCCTCATAAGAATAGGCAAAACCAGAGAGAATGTAGATGTAGGGTTGCCAAGGTCTGGCAGGGGGAACCCACAATGCAGGGCATAAACACACCCATGTGCCCTGAATCTTGCCCTCCAGCCCAGGCGGGGCCACTGGTCACACCAAAGGGTCCAGGACAGGAATCCCAAGACCGGAGGGCAGATCACCTCTTCACCAACTGGCAATGCGACTCGGGCCAATCCATGCCTCTTTATTTTCTTGACATCAAATAGAGCCAATATGATTAAACATTACAAGGTTTTTGTGAAGGCAAATAGGAGTTGCAACCTCTGGAAGTGTGGCAGGTGAACAGTGGTGTGAATCTCCCATCAGTGCATGCTCTGCTCTGTGGGACAAGCTGTAGGGCCAGGAGAAGCTGGGCTGTTTACCACGTGGATGAGGAGGCAGGACTGGGGCTGGCAAGGGAGACCCTGAGGGCCAGTGGTCAGCCGGTGGTGCCTCAAGCACTGGCTGCTCCTGCCAATGTTCCCCAGACACGGTGCCAAAACCACCAGAGTAAAGGAGTAGAATTCTTTATTAAGGCACACAAGCCGGGCTGTCCTGGTCACAGTGGCTTCTAGATAAAGAGCAATAAAGCGTCTTCAGTAGAGCCAATTTTGGAAGAGTCACTTCCTTGCATTATATTTTCCTTTCTTGTGTTGTCTGTGCTAAGAAGCAACTTCCAGGCTGCCCAGCGCAGGCCCCTGGAGGGCATTTTCTTAGGCCTTAGCTGCTGTCTGACAGTGATACCCCCTGAGGGATCAGAGAGGCACTCCCATGACTTCTCACCAGTGGCCCCATTGGGCACTGAACCCCATCCAGAGGTGGACTTGTCAAGAGAGCAGGCTGGACCTTAACTCTCTAACACAGGCCAGACTCCAAAACCTGCCACTTTTCTTAAATCCTTGGGGCAGTGAAGGGCCCCCTAGTCTCGGTGAAAGTAACTAATTTCTGAGGCAAAAGGGGAAAACCTCCTACCCCGTCCTCATCTGCTCTGAGGACAGAAGGGACGGGTATGCCCAGGCTGGTGGCACAGGCTGCATTTCCGGGGTCTCTTGGCTGTGGACTCTGTGTCTGAAGAGCTGGCCCGGGTTCGTTTGCTTCTGGCCTCTGGCCCCCCAGTTCTTCCTCTGCCTCCTGGCCAGGGCAGGGCTCCAAAATCCACTGTGGGAAGAGTCAGGGGAAGGGTGAGCTTAGAATAGACACTGAGGTGGCAGGAAAGACAGGTTAGTGTGTTTGGCAAAGGACAGCATCCCAACTTTGATGTGGTCTGGTATACCCCCAGGCCAGTCCCTTGCCTCCACGACAACCCACAATGCATCAGACCTTGTTACCAGGCAACTCTCCCTAAAGAACCCTGAGTTCTAGGCAGCCTCAGTCCACTCTCACTGTCCCAGTAAGGAAGGCGCTGTTGTCACTTCACACCTGATATTTCAACAGAAGTAGAAACCAAGCAGCAACTGACTTGAGGTCATGTGGGGAGGCAGCAAAGACAAGTAGGCTGTGGTCAACAACCTGCTCTGGAACTTGTTCTGTTCCACATAAGAAGTCCTTCAATAGGCCTCTTAGTGCTGACTGCTCCACTGCCCAGGACAACTGGTCAGCTAGCTGGGAGGTCAGATATTGCTGCCTTCCAACTGGGGAGGAGAAGCGGCCCTCACACAGTTGAAGTCTGCACAGGCTGGACGACCTTCTCATGCACTTCAAATGCAAACACCATGACCGTGCTGGCAGCCGGTGACTAAGTCCTAAACCTTTACCAAGTCTGCTGGGCTCTTCCTCTATGTGCAGAGCTGGTAACCTGTGCTAGAATCACAGTCTGTTACTAACTAGGCTCCTTTATAAAACAGGAACCCTAAGAAAGGTAGGTAAGTACCATGTTATTGTTGAGGAAACCTAGGCTGAGAAGCCAAGTCATTTGTTCAAGGTTATACAGCTGAGTTCTAGAACTAGCTTTGTACAGGCTCCCTGCAGGCCTTTCTGTCATTTTCAGATGTTTAATTAAGCTTCTTCTGTGTACCAGGTGGATAGGAACCACCTCAAAGTACCATCTCCCTTTGAGAACGAATGTCTGGGTGCCAGTTCTCACCAGCTCCAGTTTGGTGAGACCCAAGCTGCATAACAGTGAGTGGGTTCCTAGACACCACCAAGGCCAGTTTCTTCATCTGAAGAAACAAGGCAGATGATGCCGAACTTGCAAGGGCTACACACAGGCTAGAGGAGCACAGGGTCGTGAGAACAAGCCAGCTGACATTCAAATCTTGGGCTGTGGCTGTGTGACTTAGAGTAGTCACTGCACTTGTCTGGGCCTCACCTTCCTCATCTGTACAGTTGTGATGACAGATCCTATACATGATGATGCAAAGTATAGTTCATAGTGCTGGTCACGCAGCAAGCTACTCAATTAACAGCAGCCACTATCAACCGGAATGGAGATTGTGCCACTCATCACTTTATTTAAAGTGACCAAGCGAGGAAACGGCAACCAAGGCCCTGATCCTCACTGGCCGCCCTGTCTTACTCTGCCACCTGCCATCTCAGAGCCAGAGGACAGCACGCCAGGCCCAAGAAGGGAATGGCATGCCCCTCAGGCCAGCTCAGGTGCCGCTTCCGCTGATGCTGCCATGGGGACGGAGCCTGTGCCCCGCCTTACCTGGGGCCACGTTCTCGTCCACCCACTGAAAGAAGCCGCACTGCTGCTCTCTTGGCTTGGCGCACGTGTGGAACTGGCGTCCTCTGTTGGGCCCATCCTTCTGCACGGTGCGCATGACAGCCGGCTGGCTACACAGGCAGGATGTGCCACCACCATTATCACCAGAGCTGCCAAATCCACCCGGGTGGGTCCGTGAGCCTACGGGGAGTCCCAGTGAGCCACCCATGGGTCTTGTTGCCAAGGAAGGAGCCCCTCCAGAGGTTGGATGGGGGCTATCAGCCCATAGGAAGAAGTTGCAACTGCCACCATTGCATTTGTAGAACTGTCGGCCCTGGTTGGGACCCTCCTTCCGGACAGTGAGCAGCACGGCCTCCTGGCCACAGTTGCAGGTCACAGAATTGTTTTCACCAGCGGCAGTGGGCGGTGGTAAGGCCTGGGTAAGAGCCTTTGAGGGTCTAGGATGGCTGTTTTCAGAAGGCTGGGGGTGGCCATGCTGGTTGCTGTCCATTCTGTTTAGAGACTGGCTAGCTTGCAGGTATCCGGGAGGCTGGTTGGTTGGCTGGCTGGCTCTAGGGGGCCCCCGTGAAAATCTCAGGTCCAAGATCTCCCTCAAGGTCTCATCACATCCACCAATGCAGCCAACAAACTCCAGAGGCATGGTTGGGGGAAGGCTACCATGTTTAAACTTCAACTTTAACCTAGTAAAGTCAGAAGGTGAGGGAAAAACATTAATTACCAGGTGCAAGGGTCCTCCCGGTCCACAGAGGCCTGCCTCCACCCTAGTCATCCCCTCACCCCCACACACCAAGGCAATGAGGGACATGACCATACTGGCATTCTGACCTGGCTGCTGCTTAGAGCAGCAAACCCAAGGTTCTCATGTCCTTGGGAATCCCCACCTGTGCATTGCCTTGCAGATGACTCAGATCCCAGCTCACCTGTAGACAGGGTGTGGCTCGCAAACTGGACACACACTGCCGTCCCTGCTGGCCTCCAGGAGAGAGTCAGGGAACCACACAGCCGTTCGACATTCTGGGAAACCCGTGCAGCTGAGGTAGAACCTGGGGAGCAGGGAGTCAGTGTCAGGCAGCAGTCACCAGACCACAGGAAATCTTCCCAGGCTGCTACCCATCTGGCAAGGAAGCTTTTCTTCAGCTGATTAAAGAAGACATTAATTTTACTGGACTACACTTAAATGGATACACTGACACTCGTCGTACTGAGTGACTTAGGAAAAGCAGACTGCATTTATTTCCCACATACCTAAAAATAAATAAATAAATGAAACAGCTATTGCGGACTCTGCATTTGACTTAAAATAATCAACTCACCCAAAAACACCTGGCCAGAGGCCCAGGGAGTACTAAGGGTTTGGCTTGGGCTCTGTGCTGTGCTCTTATCTTCCCTCATTTCCCCTCATGATAAACCCAAAGGGGACCACCAGCACCTTTAGTTTACATTGGTGTGAACCACAGCTGGGAGTGCCCTGGAAACCTGACCAAAAACACACGTGCAGTGAATTGGGAGTTAAGCCGAAAACTTCGCCTAGTCTTTATTCCTAACATTTGCACCATGGCTTTCTTGGCCAACATTTCTTGATGCCTTTTACCCATGAAACTTTAGGGTGGGACTAGCGAATATGCACAAGATTTATATACCTTCTTAGTGGGCCTGGGTATGACTTGACCAGGAGAAGAAAAACAAAAACCAACCAACCCAAGCCCCAGTAATCTAAACAGTAAATCCACAAACTCAGGAGTAGAAATTAACAGATAAACCCTGGTGTGGTAAATTCCACCTGACAATCCTAGGTGAGCCAAGCACTTGGAGAACTCGGCACTAACACATAGCAAGTATTCTTTCCCCTTGCATTTCAAAGCTTTGAATCCACTTACCCATTGGTGGCAAAGAAAAAACCATCATCAGCAATTATTAAAAGGACTATGGCCATATGTGCTGGGCTAAGCCTGCAACAGCATTGGTTTTATATAACATTTGTGGGTAACACAAGCCCTGCAACCTGCTGCAGGGTGGGGGTGGGGGGCCACTAAGCTTTGGTTCCTGAGAGAGAGAGTCGGGGAACCCACCTGCTCCCACAGCAGCAAGAAGGAAGCAACAGTGCTGCAGCTAGTGGGGACAGAATGGAGAGAGGCTGTGGAGATTTAAGTTCAAATTCTGTCTTTCCTGGTCTCTAGGACTGCCTGCTGTGGGCTAGCAGCACCTGCCTCCACGCCTTAGAAATATAGGGTGAAAACACCTTCCCTAGAGAGGGATTATATGATGGAAGGAGACAACGTCTATAGAGCACTTTGCATCATGCCAGGGATGGCATATGATAAATGAGGGCTGCCACTACCAATCACCACTCCTGACCATGAACTTCCTTTAGGTCAGGCAGGGCAACCTGAGCCTTTGGGTAAGCTACCTGCTCTGACCTACTGCACTGAAATAAAAAGAGATTTGAGCTGTTCAGACCTAACTTGGAGCCAAAATTAGGACAGAAGGAGAAGTAGGGCTTGTGGAGAAGCTCTCACATATCAGAGCTCTACTCTTCTCACTGAATCTCCACCCTTCCCAAACTATGCCAGAGTAGATCTAGTTGCTGAGTTTATGGAAGAGGAAAGTGGGGCTCAGCATAGTTAAGTAACCTGTTTTGGGGCATGAAGCTCACTTATGAGTAGATTTGAACCCAGACCCACCTACATGTAAAGCTTGTGTTTCTATACCATTTGCCACACACTGGGTGAATGACACCTTATCCTTATCCACAGGGGATAAAGTCCACCATTTCGAGCCCTCCCCCCTCTGAATTCCCACAGCTCTTCATAATTCCAAGGCCAGATCCTAGCTGGCCAGTCCATCTCCAACACCTAGACCAGGGGCTGGCACTAGTAGGGTCTTCCTTTAAATAACGAGACGGAAATGAATGAATGGCCTTGCAGAGAGCTGTCAAGCAGGTGCTAGGCACGCAAAAGTGGAGCACAAGCCAGACACTGACCCGCCACTCTTCTTGGTTTTGAGGACCATGTCCTTGTTGCACTGTGGGCACTTTCTGACAGGCTCTGGCATGGCTGGATAGATAGCTTCTTGCGGGGCCATCTCTGCCGCTTCCCCAAAGTACTGGGACAAGGCCTCGTCCAATCTGAAGACACAGGAAAACATTTACAACATTCTTACTGTAACATGTGAGTGGTCTAGAGAACCCCTGGCTGGTCAGCCACAGATCTGATGCAGGGAACAGAGGAAGACAGAGAACTGCACTGGCCCAGCCGGCCATCCCTTTCTGCCTGGCTCTCAGCACCTCCTGGGAGAAACCCAGCTACAGGCAGATATTTTTGCTGCGCCACTGGCCCCACACTGAACAAAACCACACAGGGTCCAGGTACATACTCCAGGAGTGCCTGGGTTTAATTTTAAACTAGCTCATGCACTTCTTTTCAAAACTGGCAGTGTAGAGGCCTCCCTGGTGGTGCAAGGGGTTAAGATGTAGCACTATGAAGCTATCCGCAGCCTCTGTAGCGTAAGTTTGATCCCGGGCTGGCCAGGGAGCTACCCACATGGCGCGGCAGACCTCTCCTGTCTTGCCCACTGCTCCCCTCAGCAGTGTATTCCAGTCAGTCTGCCTGTTCTGCTCCCTACTCTGGTGAATCCTCTCACCCCACCCCCCCTTGCATCTTTGGCCTGTAACCCAGCTCTTATATGCATAAATAAATAAATCTTTAAAAAAAAAAACCACGGTGTAGAAAAACTACTATTTCTAACAAAATGCACACTTGCTGCTTGCTAAATGGTCACCTCCCAAGTACTTAGGGAACAAATGGACCAGATGCCAGTAGTTGGGTTTACTGAGACATAAGGAGGTGCTGTCTGCTTACTTAAGACAATTAAAATCAAGAGAAATGCATTTTAAAGCCAATAGCCTGGATTAAATGGACCAGATTCTTTGAGCTGTCATTTCTATACTGACAAAGCTCTATGCAGTGGGACAAATAAAACTTAAGAGGAAAACCTGAAGGGTACATGTGTGCAGCCCTGCCAGGTGAGAAGACAACCGTGAAGACGCACTGACCTGGCAGGGACGGGATGGGGAGTTATACCACCAGCTTTCTGCTGACTCACTCCATGAGCCCCCACTTCTTAGGGACATGTTATGGCCAAGGACTCACAGCTAAATGTCCTCGTGAACAAAAAAGCAGGGTGGGGACTCACTTCTTTGCTTTAGCCACTGCTTCAATGAAGACCTGCTTGTATTTCTGGACCTGCTGCTTTAGAACCACGAGTTTGTCCTTCTTCCCCTCACAGATCAATTTCAGATCAGCCTCCAGTTCAGCCCGCAGGTCAGGTTTGGACATCTCATAGCCCATGGAATCGTAGCCTGCAAGGAGAAGAGCAGTGTTTCTTCTGGCCCTGGACCACATCCTCAGGGGCTCAGGACTCAGCCTCCCAACTACCCACCATAAGCTCCCTCCTCCTTACCTTCCACAAGTCCCATGCCCAGGTGCCCAGGAAGAAACCGCTTGTCTGGGGTAAGCCCAACATACATCCGAGCTTTGATGGTCTCTATGTGCTCTGCGTGAGTGGCGTCGGTACCTGAAAGCCACCTCAGGTTATGCTCAGGTTAATCCAGACAGCTCCTCATGGTGTTTCCATGCACCTTCTTCTGCCAGATTTCCTATTCTAGGCAAGAAGCCTCTAAATCCCATCTGGCCCGTCTGGTAACCACAATGGCAACCTCACATCTGCTTACTAAAACTGTCAACCCGTCTGTTAGTCTTTCTCCACCATGTCACAGGTCAAAGCCATGCCAGAGGCCATGTCCTTTTGACTGTGTCATCACAAATCCCCAGTCCCCTCACTTCTGGTCTCTTCCTCCACCCAACCCATTCCTTACGCTGGGGCCAAAGGGATCTTTTAAAATGTAGTTCTGCCGGGTCTTCCCTGGTGGCGCAGGCAGTTGAGTGCAGCACTGTGAAGTTGTTATGCAGCCTCTGCAGCGCGGGTTCGATCCCGGCCTGACAGGGAGACTCCCACATGGTGTGGCAGACCTCTCCCGTCTCACCCACTGCTCCCTTCAGCAGTGTATTTCGTCAATCTTCCTGTTCTGTTCCCCGCTCTGTCTCTGGTGAATCCTCTCACCCTCCCGCGCATCTGGCCTGTACCCTGGTTCTTGTATGCATGAATAAATAAATCTTAAAAAAAAAAAGTAGCTCTGCCATCAGGGAAAAGAAAATCAAACCCACAAAGAACTACTACTTCATGTCCACTTGGATAGTTATAATAAAGATGCACAATAAGAAATGTAGGCGACAATATGGAGAAACCATAACCTCACACACTGCAGGAAGTACACCAGGGCAGTCACATTGGAAAACAGTCTGGAGTTTCCGCCAAAGGTTAAAGAGTCACCACATGCCCCAGCATTTCCACTCCTAGGTGCATACCCAAGAGAACAGGTTTAGAGAAGCGCCCGCACACGAACATGCCCTGCAGCACCATTCCCAGCAGCCACGAAATGGAAACCACCCAAAGTCCACCAACTGACGAATGGATGGACAAAATGTGGCATATTCACTGAACAGAACAGTGTTTGGTAAAGATAAGGAATGAAACACCAAGAGTTGCTACCATGTAGATGAACAGAGAAAACACACGGAAAGAAGCCAGTCACAAGAGGCTACATGTGATTCCATTTATAGGAAATGCCTCCAATGAGCAAATCTATTGAGTCAGAAAGATTAGTCAACCACTAATAATTCTGACCCTATTTGCCTAGGACTGAGGGGATTGGAGAGAAGGGAGATAGGGAATGCCTATTACTGGGTACGGGGTTTCTCTTTTGAGGTAACAAAATGCTCTAAAATTGTTTTGTGGTGATGGTCACACAATTTTGTGACTACATAACTATTAAATTGTACATCTTAAATGTAGTGACTTGTATGGTGAATTATGAATTATGTCTCAAATAAACTATTAACAATTTTTTAAAATGTACTCTGTGCTGTTCTCCTTAGGAAATCTCAGAGGACTCTGCTGATCACAGCCAACATCTGAGCCCCCTGTGCAGCTTGCCAGTCCCTGCAGAGTCAGGCTCAGCTCATCTTTCTGGCCACAGTGGCACGTGCTTCTCTATCCCTGCATCTTCCCTCAGGTCCCGCCTCTGCCATGCCTGCCTTCACTCACCGGGAGATCTTACAATGGGTTTTAAGGTGCCTGCCTGCTCTCTGCAGGGTAGTTACACTCTGTATGTGTTGATTTTGTTTGTTTCTCCTCCTGGGCAAGTTCCACAACAAAGAGGACTAGGTCTTATTTCTTTTTGTCATAAGCCTGAACCAAGGTCTAGCTCTTGTGGGCCTCACATTTTTAATAGGTAAATCATGATGGGTCAACTACCTATAATTTTACCTAAACTCACAGGCTTTGTATCTACATCAGTGGACTCCAGATGGGAGCACTTCTGGAGTCACAGAACCACAAAACTCACTTTGTATTGTGGCAGGTATGCCCCAGAGTGAATGGCACTACCCCCTCCATCATGCTACTGGCCCTTTTGGACGAGGTTGAGCCAGAAACAATCCTTAGAGATGTGAGGAAAAATGACAAAGGGGCAGCAGATAGGTCACAAGTGACCTACCTGTAAATCTGTAGCTACAGGACTTTTTGAGAAAAACAATTCAACCCAATTTTTTTAAAAAATCTGATTTCTGATTTCTAAACAATTAGGAATGCTTTAGTACAAAGTTAGTTATATAGTCATCCATGATTAATAGCAGGGTGACAAAGTCCAGCTCCAGCAGGGGCCTGGCATGTACCAAGTCAGTGAGGGCGCCAAGAGTGAGCCCTGAGAACACACCGCTCTAGAGGTGGCCAGCACTCAGACCCAGCCAACTGCTTCCACATGGGAATGAAGCTCAGGGTTGCCAGATCTTCTGATACTTCAAAAGATGAAAATAAAGGTATTTATGTAGACTCACTCAAGGCCTACATATTGGTACACCATGCAAAATAAAGCAAGGTGAAAAAAAATCCCTATGTGGGGCCTCCCTGGTGGCACAGCAGTTGAGCGCTGGGTTGTAAAGCTGCCGGCAGCCTCTGCAGCGCCGGTTTGATCCCCGGCCGCCGGGCGAGGGTCCCACATGGTGCTCAGACCTCTCCTGCCGCCCACTGCTCCCCTCAGCAGTGTATTTCAGTCAGTCTGTCTGTTCTGCTCCCTGCTCTGGCTCTGGTGAATTCTCTCACCCTCCTGCGCTTCTGACTGTACCCAGTGCTTGTATAAATAAATAAGTAAATCTTAAAAAAAAAAAAATCCTTTTGTGGATAAAAAATACACAGTGAATGCACAGGACCTGGTCAGGGTGCTCCCAGTTCAGATTTCCAAGTTATGGGGAAAGTCTGCATCCTGCCTCAGATGTGTGATGCAACGGAGAATACCAATGACTGCAGAGTTATTCAGAATTATTCACGCACACACTTTGTGACCATAGCCAGGTTCCTAACTTCTCTCAGCCTCACTTTAGCTATAAGAGGCATTGAAAATATAATGCTAACTTTAGAGTTGCTGTGAAGATCAGAGGAGATGCAGTATCTGGCACACACTGCATGCCCAAGAGCCACACGTTACCATGATGACAAGCCACTGACCAATGCCGTGCTTTTCCATGAGGGCAATGAGGTCTGCCTCCGTGAGCAGCTGGGGTGGACTGGTTTCCCCATCCACCATCTCCACAGTGCTGGGCTGAAAGCGGAAGCCTTGCTCATAGATGGGAAGAATCTACAGAGAGCAGCAGAAGCATCAGTCAATAATTCTACCACGGCACTCAGGCAAGACAGCTTCCATTTCAAAATGGCTCTGCTCAACCAGATGGCATGAAGGCTGGGAGCATGACTGTCCTCCCCTCTCCCTGAGATCCATGGGTGAGACATGGATTCTGATTATCACCTTGTCGCTCCAGTGATCATACGGATACACATCCAAATAGTTTCGCGCCAGAATCATGAGGCCATGGGCCACAAAGCGTTCCTGAGCAATGTCAATCTCCACAGTGGTCTCCTGCCCCTGGGCATCCTGGGAGCAACAAGCTAGGAAATGGCGAACAATAAACTCATAGAGTCGCTGCTCATCTCCCTATAAAGAAAAGAAAAGAGCCTGAAGTTCCCTCTAGAACATTACCTCTCAGGGATCTCAGCATTGTTGGTAGTTGAAACCTGGTTTGGATCACCTTTCAGGCTAATGTTCTTTTCTTTTTTTTTTTAAGTCTGGAATTTTATTTATTGCTTAAATGGTATTATTTTTTATTGAGGAAACATTGGTTTATAACACTATGATTTAGGGGTATAGGTTAACACCTCACCCCTCATCACATCACATCATACCACCAAGACACATCTAGTCCTCCACCACTGACCACTGGGCTCCCTCCTGCCTTAACTTCCCTCTTATGCCCTCCCCTTCTGAAAGCCTGCCTATGTGCAGTCAGATTTCCAGGATTTCTTTTAGTTTAGCTTTTGTCTATTCCCTTGTAGCCTAATATTTGCAGACAAAGGGCACAATATTCTGTAGCTGCCTGCAAGAACGTGCTAGCCTAAGCTTCTGTGTGCTTTGGGTTTAGGCTGATATACTCCAGGCAGAGGTAAACAAAGGGAGTCATCTTGCCCACAAGACTAGGTAGTGATTTTTTTGCTATAAATCCAACCTAAGCAGGAAATAAGGCAAGGGCAGAAGTTAACAAAAGGTTCTTTGCATATAAGACACATACAGAAAAGATGTGTCTAGCTGCCTTAGACCAACATCATGAACACAGGGTTAAAGATGATTTCCCACCAATTATGTTATCAAGGATTTTGTGAGGCCCAATCTATCAAAGGCTTGAAAGATATCCACACTCACATCCAATAATTCTCCTTCTAAGAATGTATTCAAATGACTGAGATCTACAAAAATATTTATGCATACAAATGTTAATACTAGCATATCATCTGTCAAAAACTCAACTGGACACAACCTCAGAAACAGATCAGGCAAAATAAATTATGGTATAATACTGCAATCATTAAACATCATTCTTTAACTTTTTATATTTCCTAAATTATCTATAATGAACATGTATTAATTTTTTTTAAGATTTATTTTATTTATTTATGCACACAAGAGCTGGGGTGTAGGCCAGAGATGCAGGGGTGGGGGTGAGAGAGTGGAGAGCAGAACAGGAGGATCTACTGAAATACACTGCTGAGAGGAGCAGGGGGCAAGACAGGAGAGGTCTGCTGCGCCATGTGGGTAGCTCCCTGGCCAGGCATCGAACTCATGCTGCAGTGGCTATGGATAGTTTCCCTAGCGCTGAGACTTGCACCACCAGGGAGGCCCACATGTATTACTTTTTTTTTTTTTTTTTTTAAGATTTATTTATTTATTTATACAAGCACTGGGTACAGTCAGAAGCACAGGAGGGTGAGAGAATTCACCAGAGCCAGAGCGGGGAACAGAACGGGCAGAGTGAGGAAATACATTGCTGAAGGGAGCAGCAGGCGCAGCAGGAGAGGTCTGTCACGCCATGTGGGATCCTCACTGGCGGCCAGGGATTGAACCAGTGCTGCAGAGGCTGCTGGCAGCTTCTCAGCCCAGCGCTCAACCGCTGCGCCACCAGGGGAGGCCCTTATTTATTTTTTTAAAGATTTATTTACACAAGAACCAGGGTACAGGTCAGATGTGTGGGAGGGTGAGAGGATTCACCAGAGACAGAGCGGGGAGCAGAAACAGGCAGACTGACTGAAATACACTGCTGAGGGGAGCAGCGGGTGAGATAGGAGAGGTCTGTCCCACCATGTGGGTATCTCTGCGACTGGCAGGGATTGAACTGGCACAGCAGAGGCTGAGGACAGCTTCATAGTACTGTGCTCAACTGCCTGCGCCACCAGGGAGGCCCCCACATGTATTACTTTTAAAGCAGAAAGAACATGTTTTATTAAAAGAAGGAAAACATTTACTTAGCTTTGTGATAAGCTTATAAAATAAGCCTCATTAGCTCTGGCCCTCACAGAGCTTATTCCCCAGCCCAGGAAACAACTGAAACCTGAGATGCTCAAGCAAAAACCCTGAAGTAACGTAAGTATGACGTGTGTGTGTGTGTGTGTGTGTGTGTGTGTGTAAGTTTTAGGATGGCAATGGACACCAGACTTGGGAGGATGAACAGGATTCTTCCAGCTAACAAGGGACCAAGAAGGTGACATCGGCTGAGTGGGTATGGGGCAGTGCACAAGGAAGGAGAGCCGCCTAGTCCGTGTGGCAGGATCATGGCAGCAGCAGGGTCTGACAGAGAGCGGAAGTGGGGCTGGACAGAGTAGAGCCCATTGTAGGGATTTTTTAGGAAAGCTAGGCAGAAGACAGTGGAGTGGAATTTTGACACAAAGCTCTTTTTTCTGAATGGAAAAGATATTTCAAAGTCATTCATTTCCTGAAGTAAGAGCCCATGGAGGGTACACAAATCCTATTCCTGACCCCTCAACCCCTCTGGATTCTGGCAGCATTATTCAGGGAGACCAACCTGCAAGTTGCTGGTGTACTTAGTGGGGTGGATGGGAGGGTGGGCTTGGTCAGACTTGTTCCCGTTGCGTGGGGTAGGGCCACCCCGCTCTAGAATGCTCTGGGCAAAAGCCCCCCAGCGTGGATCCGGGGTCTGCTGCTCCACCAGCATTGACAGGTTTAAGTCTTTGGGAAAAATGTTTGTTTCAGTTCGGGGATAGCTGATGTACCTAAAATGAAGGCAAACAAACAGAAAAAGAAATTGTTCTCAATGGTCTAAAAATAACTAGATTGAAAACATATGGTGACATCTGCAATAACCCATCTGATCTACCCAACTCAACTGAAAGCAAGCTAGATGCAGATACCAGAAAAGTTCTGAGGTAAGATCCTTAATGGGGAGAAAAGCAATCCTCCTGCTAGGACACTTAAAGGACGAATGAGAGGGCAGTACAAAGTAGGAGATACATACTACAGCTCAGCTCTGTCCACAGTCCTGTGGCCTGGGCACTGCCAGCCTCTCCATGTCAGTCTACCACGGGGCCCTGCCTGACAGCTGCAGCAGCGTGTGCTCCTACAATCCTGCTTAAAGCACAATGCAGTCCGACAATCTGTCATGTGCAGTCTATAATTTAAAATTCTTTCAGCCACTTAAAATTATTAGTGGGACTATTTACTTTCGTTTTTTCAATAAGTTGTTAAGACCCAGTATGTATTTTACACATGCCACACACTCCAATTTGAACAACACAGATTTCGAGTGCCCAACAGTCACATTTGGTGAGTGGGTGCCACATTGGTCAGTGCAGGACACACTGTCACTGGATGAAGTTGGGGGGCTCATGACTCCTTGAGACAAAGGTGATTCACAACAGGCAACAGCTCCTAAGGCGCTACCCACCACCTGTCAGGGCCCCAAGGATTGTTGCTGAGGGGTCAACAATGGGATGTGAATTCATTCTATGGGCTTGTGTTTTAGAAATTGTGATGTGATTTTGAAATACCATTTCCTATAGAAAGAAAGGTCAATGTTAAAATTCTACTTCAGAGCTTAGGTGATATCTAGAAAGCGTGCTTCTCCACGAGCTCTATTTCTAAGACATTTCATTCTAAAAAATATCCTAGTCCCAAATATGGGCTATTTACCCTTGAGTGTAGAGTTTCTCAGCAATCCTCATGGTTTCTTTAGCATTTATCTTCAACTTTCGAGAGGCCAGCTTTTCAAGCTCCTGTTAAATGAAGCAACAGGCATATCAGGGTGTAGTGTGTGAGTCAGAAGGCACAACAATGTCTGGTTCTTGCCAGCTGCTATCACACTGAGGAAGAAACACTGTTCCCAGGAAAAATTTCCGGCCTACCAGACAGATCCTATCCTAGTAGTTTTCAGACTAAAAAACAAAAGCAAGAATCACCTGGGAAGTAAGCAGATTCACAGTCCCTGAGGACAAGGGATTCTGACAGAGTACAGCTGGGAACAGAGGTCAGAAATCTGCATTTTTCACAAGCAGTCTAATGTACTGATTCTAACACAGGCAGTCTGACAACAGCACTTGGTAAACAACGCCCGAGTCTCTGTAAACTGGCCTGAATGATGAATGCCCTTTGCTTCCAAGAGGCCCACTGGGAGATAATCAGCCATTCTTCTCCTTGGTGATACTACAACCATGCTGCTGACAACACATCAAAGTATACTGAACCAGTGGGGAATAAAACAGTTATGCCTACTGTGTGAAAGCAACCCATCACGTGCCCCTTGACATCCCTTCACACACACACATACATGGACACACAACACCATCTGAGATAAAGGATGCACCCTTAAAAGTCTCTGCATGTTCTTAGTGGTATGTTTGGTGTGTTCAACCTCTAGTTAGGCTCGTCAGTAAAGACACCCTGAATTTTTCTGTAAAGTAGTAACTTGCAAGGGGCACCCTATGGTGGCTTATTCACATGGGGGTGGCTATTCTTGGGGTCAAAAAATCTGTTCTAAGGTAGGCTTATAAAGTAGGTATTTAAAATATGACTTTACATTTGTAGAAAAGATTCATTTTTATTTATTTATGCATACAAGAACTGGGGTGTAGGCCAGAGCTGGAGGGGGTGGTGAGAGGATTCACCAGAGACAGAATGGGGAACAGAACAGGTAGATCTACTGAGATACACTGCTAAGGGGAGCAGTGAGAGAGACAGGAAAGGTCTGCTGCGCCATATGTGGGTTAGCTCCCTGGCTGGGGAACTCAGGCCACAGCGATGATAGCATGACAGCGCTGAGACTTAACCCCTATACTACCAGGGAGGCCCAAATTATACATTTTTAAGAAAATATGCTTGGGTGGAAAGAGCAAGTTATTGTAAAAACAATACTGATAAAAATACACATAAAAAATCAGAAGACATCATATTATATCAGCAATTACTTAGGGGATGAGTGATAAGTCTTCCTCTTTTTGTTTCCCAAAGCCCACATAAAGTGGTTATATTGCTTTTATTAACGTTAAACAAAAAGGCATGAAGTGGCGTTGAAGAACCCCTTTGTGCTCCGGGGTTTCTGTTCTTCACAAGCACTTTCCTGTGGAGGCCTGTGAAGGGGGACACTTCCTGCCTCTAGGTTGACGTCTACAGCAGAACCTGTCCAAGAATTGGAAGTCAGAGAAGCTCAGGGGCTGGGATAGTCCCCTGGAACCTACCACAGTGTCCAAAGCTTGAGGTCTCCACTTGCTCTTTGGCTTGGACTTGACCTCGACCACAGTTGCCATGGGATCCTAGAAGGCCAGGAAAAGCAGAGACCACATTAACTTGTCGGTGCCTCTTCTCCAGCTCCAGATCATGCTCACCACCAGCAGAGGCCCTGCTCCAGTGCGTGAGAGCACCCCATGTAATGTCAGTTTATAGCCCACAGTGTTGGGGACACCATCACCCCTTCCTGCTCAAACCAAGACTTTAAGGGACAATTTCATAAACCTTAAGGAGTCTGGTCTACTCTATGAAATACAACAGCCATTATCTCCTAAACATAGTTTCCCATCTACAAATGCATAGTGCTGCTATTTTTTAAAGTCAGGATAATAGAGTGAGAAGTAGGAAAAATTATACAATATAAGCTGGAGAACTCTAATCTTAAGACCAATTTCACCCTTTAAGAGACTGTAAACCCAACTTAAGTGATTTGCTAATGGAGAAATTTATATATCAAAATCCAGTTTCTCCTCCCAAATAGACTGGGGACCAGGTGCATTTCACAAGGAGCTCAACTTTTTTTTTTTTTGCACCTGCCACATTTCCTGCATCATCTCCTAGTGAATCAGAAAAAGGGACGATCATTGCTGAACAGATAAATGGGCTGTGTTACAGACATGCCAGGATAGACAGGGATGCCCGGGAAGTAGCATGGCCTGCAGAAGCAGCTGGACAGTGAGCTATCCTGGGGTCTAGTCCAAACTTTACCCCTTCTAGTGGTAGTGTCTGTGACCAAGTTATTTCACTTCCTCATCTGTAATAGAGAGTATCACCACTCTCAAGGATGCTATTAGGACTAAATAAAATAGAGGAAACAAAGTGCACTGGCACATAGCAGGTGCTCAACAGTTATTACCTCCTCCCCTAGCAAATCAACAATAAACCTGCTGTGTGCTATAGCTGAGGAGCATGCCTGACTCATCAAACCTAGAGATCTCAGCTTTTACTTAGGTACCACCACATACAGCCCCTGGGTTAAAGCTGTCAATTAAGTGTGGAGTGACAGGAAGTGGCATCACAGAAAGGATAATCAAATTGACGGTCACAGCTCAGCCACTGACTACCATAGGCCCGAACAGGTCATGGTATTTTGCATAAGCTGCTCCAATAGCACATGCCTCTCCTGTGACTGCTTCCATCACTTGTCTTCACTGAAAGGGTTACCCCTGAGAGGTTATTCACAATCGTCATGCCTGGAACAGTCCTCCCTGCACCCCAAGCCATTCACTACTACTATTTTACCCCACTTTTACTTCCAGGTATTTATCACTATACAGAATTAATCCGCTCATCTGTTTAGACTTCCTCCTCTTACCACTGGAAGAGGGAGTTGGGCCAGATGCTGTTAACACTCCCTCTGGCTCTAGGAGTCAGTGAACTTGACTGGTCTAGCTGATTCTTAATCTCTGGTGACAGTATACTGCTTTCAGCTATCTACTTCTTAAAATTCTTGATATTATCCAAAACTTCTACAGATCCTTTTCTTCTTTATTTCAAAAGAAGTGCTGTTTTCATGGAGTTCAGGTTTTATTGGTCCCCCCAAAATGATGTCCTGAGATGCAAACTCAAAGCTACAGTTGAGTGGGAAAATGGGACTGGTTCACCTCTTGATAAAATGCAGAATAGTTTTTCTGAATGATTTAAGATTTCCAAATATTGCTTACCTCCATACACATCTGATAGAGGACAAGACAAGCTGTGTGGTTAAAGAGACGATGCCTTTTCCAATTGAATTCTACGATGCCATCTTTGTGGTTATGGCTTACTATATTGGGGAAAGACAAACAGAAGGGCATGACTCAGAGAAGACACATGATATCACAGGTAGGAAAGTATATTACAGCAAAAGACAAAGGAATGTGAAATAGACAGGATTTTTAGATCACTACAGAAACTTTAAGCATTTCTGAAAATCATAATGGGGTGAGGCGAAGGGCAGCAACACACACACAAAACCGCACATTAGTTAGTGCCACTGATGCTCCATGGTGCCCAGAAATGGGTCATTTCTGGACCCGTAGGTTCCACACCATTAACAACACCCTTCCCCAGCTCTACCTTTAATTTTGTGGAAGATTTCTGGGACAAAAGCCTGAATGGCTTTGAACCTCTCCACCACGAACCCCAGTGTTGGAAACTGGCAGCTGCCATAACTGATCAGCTGCTCTGCCAGCACCTCAGGAAAAATCTTCTGAAGCCTCAGGGTCTGAAACCTAGTAAAGGCAGCTCCTGGAAAGTGAGGTTGGAAAGAGAGAAGGAATGACAAAACGATGGGCTACAAGGTCAAAGCTAGAGGCACATATATACACAGAACCTCATTTTTGCCATAACCCCACAGCCAGTGTGCCATGTGGAGCCTCAGCAGAGTTGGCCCAGCTCCTCACCAATTCTCAGGTCCAGCTCCTGCCTCACGTCCACAGCATCGCTCACTCTCTGATCAGGCTCAGTGAGGTTTTCACAGGCCGTCCTGACGGCTCGGGGGGTAATCTCAGAGAAACGGGCTCTCAACACCTGCAGACTGGGCTTTACTGCAGAACAGAAAGTCACTGAGATTAAGGTCAAATCACATTGCCCTACTGATTATAAAAGGCTTGCATTTCTTAAGGCCCCTTGAGTGAAAGGTAAACCACTTTGAGAAAGCTGCCAGCTACCCAGTTTTACTGATTAGGTTAAATTAACGACAAGTTGTCTAAGAGGGGAACTTCACTATACCACTAAACTGAGTGTTGTCACAAATAGTGGTGGAGAGAATTTTAGCTAACAGAGAAACTTCTGGTTAATGGTGAACCTTCTGAGACTTTACTATCACTAGTTCTCCTAGACCTTTAGGGAAAAGAAAAATGCTAATTGAAAGGTAAAGGTCAAGTAAAAGGTCCTAGGAGGGAATTTTATATCCTGCCACAGAAAAAGTACAGGACACATTGTCCCTGAAGTTAATGCTCTTAAATCCCAGGAGTCATTCTGGTTTCATTTTTTTTTTTAAGATTTATTTATTTATTATTTATTTATTTTTTAAAAAAGATTTATTTATTTATACAAGCACTGGGTACAGTCACAAGCGTGGGAGGGTGAGAGAATTCACCAGAGCCAGAGCGGGGAACAGAACAGGCAGAAGGACTGAAGTACACTGCTGAGGGGAGCAGTGGGCACGGCAGGAGAGGTCTGCACGCCATGTGGGACCCTTGCTGGTGGCCGGGGATCGAACCCGCGTTGCAGAGGCTGAGGGCAGCTTCACAGCCCAGCACTCAACCGCTGCACCACCGGGGAGGCCCTAAAGATTTATTTCTTTATTCATATAAGAACTGGGGTACAGGCCAGAGAAGTGGGGGGGGGTAAGAAGATTCACCAGAGACAGAGTGGGGAACAGAACAAGCGGACCCACTGAAATATACTGCTAAGGGGAGCAGCGTGCGAGACAGGAGAGGTCTGCTGCGCCATGTGGGTAGCTCCCTGCCCGGGGATCGAATTCGTGCTGTGACTGCGGACAACTTCATAGGTTGCATCTTAATCCCTTGCGCCACCAGGGAGGCCCTCATTCTGGTTTCAAAGACAAAAACTAGGGCAAACGGCCAACCTCCACTTCACTCCCCTTGAAATCCAAGAATAGTCTGTGCATCACTTCCTTCAACTACCTGAAATCGTTAAACTTGTCAGAGCCATTTAAATTCACTTCAACAATTATTTGTTAATGTTTAGGTATTAAACAAAGAGTATAAAAGATTAAAAATAGATCATTCTAGAATTATTCTTCATACTTTACATATAATGTATACCTTCTCTTGAAAATATTAAATACATATTAAAAAAATAGAATGTATTCAGTCCCATCTCTCTGCAATCTACCTGGAGCTGACCCATAGCAAGCCCTGGACCACAGCGTGTATGCCACTTGCTAATATGTTTAGTCCTCCTGCAGCCCTAGGGAGTATATCAGATTGGCCTGACTTTCCAGATGAGGAAGTCAAGGGTCCCAGGGGTTCAGTGACTTGTTCTAGGACACATAGCTGTTGAGAATGGATGGATTCAGGAGGGACAGTATTCAGGGAGGAATGCAGTCACAGCTACTCACGCACATATACAGGAGAATAATCTATCTATCTGATCACAAAGCATAGAAACTCAGAAGCAGCATCACTTACCAGCCTTGCACACATGGATAACCTCAAATCCAATATTTTCACCTTCTCTATCACAATCAGTCCAGATCACCAGGACCTGGCATTGCTGCGTCTCTCGTTCCAGAGTTTTCTAGTTTCCAGAGGGGAAAAAGCAATAAGAACACAATCCATAGGGTAATTACTAGAAATTTCCACACTAAAGAGACCTAACTCAACATTAATGATATCCCTGGAGTATGCCAACATGATGAGAAAAAGATATCAGAAAAAACTATGCTGAGTGGCTGTAGTATAATCCTGCATCTTGGAGTCACAGACACATGAATGAACTTCTAGAAGACTGTGGGTTCAGTGCCAATTGTGAAACCTAAAACTCAGGTCCAATGTACACTTAGAACTCTAATGGTTCTGGATACACCTGGTTAAAAAATATTAACCCCTAATACAGTTTCATCCCATGATTCCCCGATAGCAGAGAACAATAGGCACCCTAACTGCTTAAGGACTTGCAATTTGCTGTCAAACTACCACTTACACTTTATAGTCTCTTCATTCTAACTAGAGAAGGGGTGGGAGCTAGAATTAATTTCACAATACTTATTTAAACAACTACTGTTCACAAAAAGCCTTATTTCAGTCCATTGGTCACTTAGTTTTAATGGTTTCATTTATACAATGAATGGGATTTGTTCAATTCCAGTGCCATATGTCTTCCAAAAAATCCTACCTTGATATCTACAAAATTCTCTGGGCAGTACTTTTCAATTTCTGCTTCAAAGAGGACAAGGGGATTGCAGCTCTGCCTAGAAAAGAAATGATAACACAAAAATTTCTACCTTAATACGTGACAGTCCTCCATCTTAATGAGAAAAAATTGTTCCAGTGAGCTTGTGGATGGGTCCCCAATAGAAGTACCACATGAAAGTGCCAGAGGATTCAAAGGGAGACTTTACCCTCTGCACAATGTGATTTCCACTCACAACAATTTACAGGAGCTGCAAGAAATTCTGGAACCCTTTTACACATATCTACCATAGGATAAATGCACCCTATTGACTGTATGTAAAAAGATCTTGGAGAGAACACACCTAAAAGCGGCTGTTTATTTTAAAAGTTCACAATGAATCAGTTAAGCCTTGCTATGATTTCTATGATTTATGTCCCTTCCCTCCCCAGTTCCCATGTTGAAATCCTAATGCCAATGTGATAGTGTTAGAAGGTGGGGCCTTTGGGAGGTAATGAGGTTGTGAGAGTGCAGCCCTCATAAATGGGATTAGTGCTGTTAAATGAGAGCACACAGAGCTCCTTGTAAGAGGACATAGTGAGAACTTAGTGGTCTGAAACCTGGAAGAGGGTTCTCACCTGGCACTGCTAGCACTCCAATCTCAAGCTAGCGTCCACAACTGGGAGAAATAAATTTTTGTTGTTTATAAGCTACTCAGTCTCTGGTCTTTTGTTACAGCAGCTTGAATAGACTAAGACAGTTATCCTGGTATTACAAATTATATGATAAGATCAACATGCCTCAAAATTCCTTTAATATTTCACAACTTACTGTAATAATCAGAAAGTTCTTCCCCCAGGAATTGTACTGACCATTTGCGATACCGCATCTGGAAATCATGAGCCAGCAAATGTCCAGAAACTGAAGTCATTATCATGGTAACATTCTGAATAACAAAGTCCAAGTTAGTCTTTTAGCAATTCTATTTTGCCAAATCATTCAAATGAAAGGGAGAAACTTCTATTAAAGAAAAAAAAGTGAGTGACTGCCAGGGGTGGAGAGGGGATAGAGGAATGAATGAAATGGTGTAGCACCAAGAATTCTGGGGCATTGAAAATTTCTTCAGCTTCAATAACAAATAACAACGATGTGTTTAGTAAAAATGTAAACTACAGGCTTTAGGTGATTATGTAGGTTCATCAAATGTAAGAAATGGGGAGGGCAACATATGTATTGGAGCAGGAATAGATGGGAAATCTCTGTACCATCCCCTCAATTTTGCTGTGAACTTAAAATTGTTCTTTAAAAAAATTAAGTCCATAAAAAATAAAACAAAATTAAAACTACTTGCTTGGGAAGAAACTGAACATACATATATAATTTTTGGAAGCCAAAAGGTGTCGTAATATAATTACCATTTGAATTCTAGTACCACGATGCCTTTTGTATCATTAAAATTTCAAACTATTATATATTAGCTTCTTTCTTTTTATAAGAATCTTGGATGACTCTATATTATAGAGAGATCTCCATATAAATTTTAAATGATGACTTGTAACTAGGCATCTTTAAGTTACAACAATTATTTTTAAAAGACAGACATGTCCTAATTCCTCTTGAGTGAAGAACTCTAAAATCTAATTTAGAGAGACCCTATAGTAAATAGCTATTCCTTTTAGCCAGAAACTAAAAAGCTCAAGGACTGTACATTAATATAGCACATGGATCTGAAAATACACTTCACCCGTATGATGGAAATATGTAGCACCTACCTGGCCATAAATATGATAATCAAATTCATATATTTTGTTAAATTTTGAAAGTCCTTCCCTCTGTAAAAAAAATAAATAAAATACATAAATTACACAAACAACAAATGAGTCTTCAATATCAAGGTCAAGAAAAAAAATCTGATAAATGGGATTAAAAATATAACAGTACTGCCTATAGATTAAAAACTAGGCTATATTACTAAAACCACTTATTAAGTGGCCCCTCAGTTATAAGCTTATGCCTAATAGAGTTCATGAGGCTTTTATGGCAGAAGGGTAAACTTGACAAGATGCTACTAAAGCATCTTTTTTTTTTTTAGATTTTATTTCTTTATTTTTGCGTAGAAGAGCTGGGGTGTCGGCCAGAGGTGCAGCAGGTAAAAGGATTCACCAGACAGAGTGAGAAGCAGAGCAAGCAGATGTACTGAAATACACCTAAGGGGAAAAGTGAGTGAGACAGGAGAGGTCTGCTAAGCCTTATGTCGGTTAGCTCCTGGCTGGGGATTGAACTCAGACCATAGAGGTGACAGCACTGAGATTTAACCCCTAGGCCACCAGGGAGGCCCTAAAGCATCTTCTTATAGATAAGAATGGATTTATCCAAGTTCACATGATATATTACTGGCAGAGAAAGGATCAGAACCCAAGTCTCTAGCTAATGCTCTCCTTCCCCACACATCTCTACTGTTTCCTGGCCACACAACTGCAGCAATAATAGTGGTGACAAGAACCTCTGTTTCACAAAAACTCACAAATACACGTGAGTTTCATCTTCAGTTTTGCACAGAAGACAAGAGGCCATCGGGGTACTAGGGAAATGTTCAAGGACCAAGAAGGATTATTGTCAAGAAGATTCTTCTTCAACATCACAAAGACAGATTTTCTGACTATTAATGAGGTTCTCTGAAGCACAAGGGCAAATTTTAAGAAGAAACTTATTTTATTAATTGTTACTTAATAGTCACAGGTCTAATGTTGCTAAGAAAAGAAATTCCCCTCTGCAAACTTTGTTTGTTAAGCCCCTTTAAACAGAGAACAGAAATCATCTAATAAATGATTTCTAAATTCTTTTAAAGAAAGTATTGAAGCCTTCCCTGGTGTATAACCAGATTGAAGCACTCTGGCTGCACCAAGGCTGAGTCTTGCTAACTTTCTGAGTCCAGCCTGAGTGGCTCCTGAAGTCTCTTGGGTCTCTTTGGAACACAAGTTTAGAAATTGCTATCCTATCCTCTCTGGATAAATTACCTACTTAATAATGTTTCTGTGACCCCAAGTCCAGGGTTCCCCCAGTCTCCTCCACCAATGATTAGTCCTGAGGATATAGAAAGCTTTTCCAGACATTTCAAACTTGTCTCCCTGTAATTCACATCTGAGGACAGGAGGCAGCTATGTGCGAGACCACCTCTTAGGAGAGTCGCTCAGGGGGATGGGCTACTCCCAAATGACAGCAGAGACAAAGAAAAAAATGGTACAAAGACCAAGAATGTAGCTTTTATGCTGTCTTTTGCAATGCTATCCACTCTTTTTGTGTTTTAAGTACAAGTCCCATTTCTTCTAAGCACTCTTTAGGAATGACCACATTGCTGCCACTAAATCTACACAGAATTCTTTTTTAAAAAGATTTCTCATTCTGAATATAAAAATAAAACTGTAAGAAACTGTACTCACATAGAAAAAGATCTGTAAGTTATTCACCATGGTTACTGTGGGTGGTGCAGTGGGGTGGTTTTTTTGCTATACAGTGGTTTTCTCTGAACAACTATAATAAGTACTACTGATAAAGAAAATGGAAAGGTTCTGACTTTTGTTAATGTTTTCGTAAATTTCTTTCATCATATATATGTATCTGTGTGTTTAAAAATCTTTTCCAATAATAGCTGAAAAGATGTCTACTAATCTATCAAAATAATTTATTTTCAGCATTCTCTTTCCATTATTACTGAATTTAATTATTTGCTATTATAAAGTTGCAATGAGTATCCTTTGACTCTAAGTTATGACTGTATTTCTCAGTTCCTCTGTCAGAATTTAAGTCCCTTAAAGGGCGGGATTATGTCATTCAATATACATCTACCATGTGATTTTCATGTAGTAGGCCCTGTTTGAGGTATAAACAGAACAGGACCTGTCACTGTTCTTAGGGAGGTACGCACCACGAGCAAGATGGACAAATAGCTAGATAACTGAACCATGAGTGCGATCATCTAGAGAGGTGAAAATGCATCTGGACACAAAGAAAGTAACATATGGAGAGGACACTCAGGAAAAACACCATATTGAAAAATTAACTCAAAATAGAACAATGATACAAATACAAAAGCGAAAACTCTTAGAAGAAAATACAGGGGCAAATCTTTTATGACTTTGATTTTGCAATGGTCTCTTAAATGTAACAATAAAAGAATTATGACAAAAGACGAAAAAATAAAAAAGTAGACTTCACCAAAATTAAAACCTATTGTGCACCAAAGAACATTACCAAGAAAGTGAAATATTTGCACAGAGGAGGAAATATTTGCAAATCATTTATCCAACAAGGATGCAGTGTCCAGAAGGTATAACTTCAACAACAACAAAAAAAAACTTAATGAAAAAATGGGCAAAAAACATTGATAGACATTTTTCCAAAGAAGATACATAATAACCAACAGGTACATGAAAAAATTCAAATTTGTGGGGCCTCCCTGGTGGTGCAGCGGTTGAGCGCTGGGTTGCGAAGCTGCCCGCAGCCTCTGCAGCGCCGGTTCAATCCCCCGCCACCAGTTGAGGGTCCCATATGGCGTGCAGACCTCTTCTGCCGCCCACTGCTCCCCTCAGCAGTGTACTTCGTCAGTCTGCCTGCTCTGCTCTCCCCTCTGGTTCTGGTGGATTCTCTCACCCTCCCGCGCTTCTGACTGTACCCAGTGCTTGCATAAAAATAAATAAATAAATAAATAAATAAATAAATAAATAAATAAAAAGGAATTAAAAAAAAAAGAAGACATGACATTTAAAAAATAAATAAATAAATAAATTTCAAATTTGTGGATTGTGAATCAAAACTATTAGGGGACCTCTGGCCTGTACCCCAGCTCTTACATGCATAAATAAATCTTTAAAAAAATAAAAATAAACCATTAGGGGATATTTCACACCCATAAGGATGGTGATGAAAGAAAGGAGGGAAGGAAGAAAAATAACAAGTGTTGGCAAAGATATGAATGATGTGGAGAACTTGGAATATTGTTAATGAGAATGTAATGTTTTAACCACTATAGAAAAGTTGGACAGTTCCTCAGAAAGAAAGACACAGAGTTAACTTATGACCCAGTATTCCTATTGCTAGGAATTTATCCAAAAGAACTGAAAACAGGTCTTCAGATAAAAACTTGAACTTGAATGTTTATAGTAGCTCTATTCATAACAGTGAAAAGGTAGAAATAACCCAAAAGCCCATCAACTGATAGATGGATAGACAATGTCATTTATACAATGAGATAGTCATAAAAAGGAATGATGTACCAATACATGCTACAACATAGATTCAAAAACATGTTAAGTGAAAGAAGTATGATACAGAAGGCCACATATTGTATAATTCTTTCTATATGAAATATCCAGAATAGGCAAGCCCATGGGGGCAAAGAGTAGATTAGTGGTTTCCAGGGGCTGGGGAGAGTGGGGAATGGTGACTGACTGTTGAACAGCTATGGGGCTTTTCTTTTGGTGTGATAAAAACCTGGAACTAGATAGAGGTGGCAGTTGCATGTGAATATACTAAATGTCACTGAATTGTACACTTCAAAATGGTTAAAGTGGTAAGTTTTCTATTATTTTAACACTTACTGTAAAAAACACAGTTCCCCAATACCTTCATGATCTGACTGAACTGCCTCTTGCTTAACTCACTGTCTTCCACTCTCACCATTCTGCAGTCTTAATTTCATAGTTTTTGAAAACATAAAGCTGTTTCAAGCCACTGGGTTGTTCTTTATACATCCTGACTTTCCTCTCTAAAGATGGATACTCTAAAGATGTAGCCTGACTATACATCTTTCAAGACTTAGCTGAAAGATTCATCAAGAAAACATTTAGAGACTCTCCTGTATTCCAGACACCACATTAGGCACTGGTAATAAAACAATGAACAAAATAGACACAGTCCCTTTCCTTTGGAACTGAGAGTTCAAGGGGTGATGAGGGACATCAAGTGAATTAACTGTACAGTGCATTATTTAACTGTAATTGGGATGTGCCTACCACTAGAAAAGGGTGGACAGCAGCATATCACAAAGTATCTCACCCAGTTGCGGGGGAGAGGAACATGAGGGAAAGGTTCCTCAGAGAACAGATATTTAAACAAAGTCCTGAGAAGAAGCACACCTAACTATGGTGGTGGACTATGGGTGCTTTGGTGGTGAGTATGCTATGGTACCAACACCTGAAGGAGGGAATCCTATACTTCCAAAATACTAACAATGATGTAAACAATGTTACAGCAATCATTTTTTTCAATAATAAATAAACAGAACCCTGAAAGATAAAGAAATTAGTTGTCAACGGGCCATTCTCAAGAGGCCCAGAGCCCTAGATGTAGGTGAAACCAAGGCGTCTGGTGAGAGTTTTCAGGACTGGAAAGAGGTGAAGTTCTCAGCTAGCACCCATACAAGTTTGACTGCTGCTCCCTCTAACCACATACTGGGATATCTAAGTGTTTTGGGACTTTGGAGAAAAAAAAATAGAACAGGAAACTTAAGCCCCTAACATTTAGAAATGATTCCAGTAAATAATTACAGGATCCACCTTTGCTATTTGATTTTCCTGCACAATTTTTAAGGCCTCTGTGTCACTTTCTTTAGGAAACCTTTTCATACCTTCCTTCCTTTGGGCTTCCAGTGCCTGGAACACCTTCTTATCCCTTCCTTGACTGACTCTAAGAATTAGTTTGTATGAGTAAGATCAGGGCCCAAAACTTACACATGTTGCCCTGTCAGTAGGGACTTACAGACTATAAAGTTAGTGGGGCTGCAGAACCCAGAAGGTGGGTTTGGAAAAAGGGGAGCGCTGTTCATCTAGGAATGATTGGGCAGGGCTTGAATGCCGAATTAAAGGAGTTTGGTAAGTGGTTCCCAATTTAACTGAGTTTCAGAATAACAAGGGAAGAATGTTAAGATACAGACTTCCACCCTCTCAACCCAGACCCGTAGGATTGCCCCCAGGGGGTTCAGAGATCTGACAGGTTTGGGAACCATTGCTATGGGCAAAGTGGAACAAAGTTTCCAAGCAAATGAGTGAAGCGTCCTAACGACATTTTAAAATGTCCATCAGTCTGACGAAAAGGCCGAAGGCCACTGTAACCGTCCCAGCGAGGCAGTGAGGAACCAGAAGTGGGAGAAGTCGCCTTCATCTCTATTCCCGTCGCTCTCACTCGGCGGGCCTCCTTCAGGAGGAGAGCAGATCAGAAATGCACCTCCTTACCCGCCTCATGCGACCATTGGACAGCAGGTCGGCGATCCCCTTGGCCGCGTCATTTTTCTCCGCCACACAGAGGATTTTCCGTACGCCTCGGAAGGCCACTTCCATGGCGGCGCGGGACAAGGCTCGGTTTCCGAGCCGTTGCAGCCACCGGGGCGAGTAGCGGGCAACAGGGAAGATCATCCCTAGGCCCGGCGCCCGCCGCCGCTCTCTGGGTGCCTACGCATGCTGGGGACGCCGGCGGTGAGATCGGCCAGGCGTCCACCCTAAAGGAGCTACATAGAGCCGCGGGCACCACCACCTGCGCTCCAGCCGCCTCCCACCAGCCCGCCGCGGCCCCTACACTTTCTACACCCCTGCGGTCCTGGCGCCAAACCCCTCACCTCCCTATCCCTCTTCCTCCCGCTTTCTCGAGCCACTTCCGCTCGGCGGGAGCCCAACAGGACTGCGAACTACAACTCCCAGAACGCCCCGCGCTCCAGGAGCTCTGCTCCCAGCATGTTTTCGCTCTCTCGCCCCACTTCCTTCCCTTTAAGACGTTTAAGACGGTGGTTGGTCAATCTGTTCCGTCTCGGGAGACGTCACGGGATAGTCCCGCCCAAGCTTCTTTATAGCTCGCATCTTTTCTCCTCCTGCTCGGAAGTCTAGGCAGACACTTCCGGGTCACGCGGCTCCGCTAATGCGAGTCATGTGATACCAAGATGGCGGCGCCGCGGTAGCTGGTCCGGGTTGTGGCGTCCTAGGAGCCGCGACGGTTTCTGCCCTAGGGCCGTGGGAGTGGCAACGCTTAGCCGGCTCCTGCGGCGACACGTAGTCCTGCGTTAAGCTGTCGTTCAGGGCTAGGGCTGTGGCTGCTGCTGTCGCGGTGGGTTCGGGGGAGTGCCAGTGACCTCGCTGCAGGTGCCTTTCGCCGCCAGCGCTCGCCCGAGGAGGAAGAGGGCAATTGGCCTCCTTGCTCTTTTGTACCTGCGGAGTTCTTCTCGGCCCCTGAGGGCTCCGAAGGAGCTGCACCTCGAAGGGGTTTGCCAAGTTGGAGTCCTCGGATGTGTGAGAGGCAACCTAGTACCTGTGGGCTCGCAAAGAAGATCGCAAGGACTTTGCTTCCTCCTTCAGACGCTTGGCTTCCCCGCGTTGATTATCCCCGCATTCATTCTCACTTCCTCTCAATGTTCTCTTCATATATCTGGAAATATGATCAGCGCCCCTGACGTGGTGGCTTTCACCAAAGAGGACGAGTATGAGGAGGAGCCTTACAATGAGCCAGCCCTGCCCGAGGAGTACTCGGTGCCGCTCTTCCCCTTCGCTAGCCAAGGAGCCAACCCCTGGTCCAAACTGTCCGGGGCCAAGTTCTCTCGGGACTTCATCCTTATTTCGGAGTTCTCTGAACAGGTGGGACCCCAACCCTTGCTAACCATCCCCAATGACACCAAAGTTTTTGGTACCTTTGATCTCAACTACTTCTCCTTGCGGATTATGTCTGTGGATTATCAGGCCTCGTTTGTGGGCCACCCACCTGGTTCTGCGTACCCCAAGCTGAACTTCGTGGAGGACTCCAAGGTGGTGCTGGGAGACTCCAAGGAGGGCGCCTTTGCTTATGTACACCACCTTACCTTGTATGATCTGGAGGCCCGTGGCTTTGTGAGGCCTTTTTGTATGGCTTATATCTCTGCAGACCAGCACAAAATCATGCAGCAATTTCAGGAGCTTTCAGCTGAATTTTCCAAAGCTTCTGAATGCTTGAAGCAGGGCAACAGGAAAGCATTTGCTGGGGAACTTGAAAAAAAACTGAAAGATTTGGATTATACCAGGACAGTGCTGCACACAGAAACAGAGATCCAAAAGAAAGCCAATGACAAAGGCTTTTACTCCTCTCAGGCAATTGAGAAAGCCAATGAACTGGCCAGTGTAGAGAAGTCCATCATTGAACATCAAGACCTGCTGAAGCAGATCCGCTCATACCCTCATCGGAAGTTGAAGGGGTCTGATTTGTGTTCTGGGGAGACAGAGCACATGCAGGAGCAGGACTACCAGGCAGTCACTACCTCTAACCCTGATGAGTCTGTTGACACAGACCTTTACACCTGCAGACCAACCTATACCCCCAAACTCATCAAAGCAAAGTCCACCAAGTGTTTCGACAAGAAGCTAAAGACCTTGGAAGAACTCTGTGACACTGAGTACTTCACTCAGACTCTGGCTCAGCTCAGCCACATAGAGCACATGTTCAGAGGAGACCTCTGTTACCTCCTGACCAGTCAAATTGACAGAGCACTGCTGAAACAACAGCAGGTAACAAATTTTCTCTTTGAAGACTTTGTGGAGATCGATGACAGGGTGGTAGAGAAACAAGAGAATGCAGCGCCTAATCCCAGTCAAGATAGGCAACCTCCCAGGTTTCTAGAAGAGTATCCTATTCCTCAAGTGTTGATTAGCGTTGGCTCTTACAAGTCCAGTGTGGAGTCTGTGCTGATCAAGATGGAGCAGGAACTTGGAGATGAGGAGTACAAGGAAACAGAGGTGCCAGAATTGAGCAGTTTTGACCCACAGGAGAACCTGGATTACCTGGATATGGATATGAAAGGGAGTATTAGCAGTGGTGAAAGCATTGAGGTTCTAGGCACAGAGAAGTCCACCTCTGTGCTGTCTAAGTCTGACAGCCAGGGGAGTCTCACGGTGCCATTGAGCCCCCAGGTGATCCGGAGCAAAGCAGTCAGCCACAGGACCATCAGTGAGGACAGTATTGAAGTCCTCAGCACCTGCCCCTCTGAGGCCCTCATCCCTGAGGACTTTAAGGCCAGCTACCCAAGTGCCATTAACGAAGAAGAATCGTATATAGATGATAGTGAGGGAGCCATCCACTTCCAGGCAACCATCAGCCAGGAGGAGCTGGGTGAGGCAGAGGAGGGCAGCTTGGGAAACCCCCCTTTACAGACAGATTCCTCCTGCTGCATTGGGAAGGAGAGCGACAGTCTGCAGGTGCCACTCTCCACTCCAGCCCACACTCTCTCTGATGAGGATGGAGTGGTGAGCATTCCCCCGCAGCGCTACAGGCAGAAGGACCAGGGCTTCCATGTGGACTTCACAGTGGAAAACACCAACCCTTCTTCCCGAGACAACAATTCCGAAGGCTTCCCTGCTTATGAGCTGGACCCCAGCCGCCTGCTGGCTAGCAGGGATGTCAGTAAGACCAGCCTGGATAACTATTCAGACACTACCAGCTATGTGGGCAGCATAGCCTCCACCAGCTCAGACAGGACTCCCTCTGCTCATCCTGCTGGCTCCTCTTCGGAGAGGCATAAAAAGAGAGCTGGCCAGAACGCCTTAAAATTCATCCGCCAGTACCCCTTCGCCCATCCAGCCATCTACTCTCTGCTCAGTGGGAGGACACTGGTGGTCCTGGGGGAGGATGAGACCATAGTCAGGAAGCTCGTGTCTGCGCTGTCCATCTTTGTCCCCAACTACAGCCGCTGTGCCAAACCGGTGAAGCACTGGGTTTCCTCCCCGTTGCACATTACGGATTTCCAGAAGTGGAAGCTTATTGGCCTGCAGAGGTAATTGCTTACAGGTGGTGGGAAGGGTCCTGTCCAGTTGGAGATGGGCCTTCAAACGCTCTCCTTCTGGGTAAGGTGAACAGTTGGTTTGAACCCAGGATCGGGAGGTCTGGCTTTTGACTGGGCCCAATACCCACTCGCTGTTAAATTGAACCAAATTTTCCCCATTTCTGACTTTCTGTTTCCTTGTCTGTCTCACAAAAGGACTGCAGTTAAAGCTGCAACCAAGGGTTTAACTAGTCTGTCTGCGGAAAGGAAATGCTTTTCTAGGATTGTTTTTTGCTACCGTTCTTAGTTGCAGGTGGTTGCCAACCCTGGTTTGCACCCTGCTGGGTCAGAATTAGGTGGGAGAATTTTTTAAATCACCGATTCCTGGGCCCCATTCCCAGAGATTCCCACTCAGTTTGGTGTGGGGTAAGACATGGAGTTTATCTGGTGTACAGCAAGGTTTGGGCACGACTGGACTTGAAGGTCCTTGCTGATTCTTTTGGCCCTAGAGGCTGTCTTAGTGGGAAATGGAAGAGCCAGTCCTTCTCCATCTCTTTGAATGCTTTTTTTTCCTTTGAATGCTTTCTCTTTCATTTCCCCTTGTCACCTGTACTTTAATGGGTTCTTTATTTTTTCAAAAAACACTTGCAAATTGTCTGGCTCACGGGACTCTCCCTCAACACGTGTCCTGTCCTATTTCCCATTCCCTTTTCTTCACCCTGCTTTGCTGTCCTGTAAAACAGAGGCATCGAGCCAGGTGGTCTTTGGAGTCCCTGCTGACCTGCATTCTGGCTACATAGGAATACAAAGGGATTTCTTTCATTGCCATCAGGCATCTGTGTTTTTCCTCATTTTCCACCTTTCCCTTTACATAGGTCCCCAGTGTGGAGATCATCTTCCGAGTCTCCTTGTGTTTGCCTCTTTATGGAAGTCACCAGGGCCTGCCCTGGTGACTCTTGCTGCAGTGGGCTTGCCGCCCAGGTTGTTTTAGTAGGATTCCAGCAAGGGAAGCTTCCCCGTCATGACTTGTATCACTTGTTGAGACGCTGCCCCAACCATGCTGGGGGTGTTGGGGCACCTGCTGAAGGAACCTGAGCAAGGCCACTGCTTGGGAGGAATTCATATTCCAGGAGGACAGTGACCAGAGCCTTGTCCCACAGCGAGATGAGAGTTTTAGCAGTGGACGCCGCGTATGTTGTAAGAAAACGGAGGGAACAGTTTGATGATGCGTTGGAACTGTATCATAAAATGCCTGGAGAAGGTCTGGGATCTTTGGCTTGAGTGACTGGGAGAGTGAGGTTGCCATTGTGGGGGAAGGGATGGCGTGGGGATTTGGAGAGTTGTGCCTGAGACCCCTGGGCCAGTCTGGTGCTCAAGATCATTGATAATCCTTGGAGTCCTTGCAGGCCGATGCAGCCTCCAGGCTGGGTGGGTTAGAGGGCTACACGGAGAGCCCTGTGGGCCCTGACCTCCTGCTGGGATCCTGTTCCTCGGCTGATGCCAGCCCAGGCCCGCTTCTCTGCTCTCAGCTTGAACTGTCTGTCTCCGGGAGGGAAGGGCTTTGTAGGGATTGCTCATTGCTACTGTTCTTGTTGGTATAATGTGTTTGTCTCCTCAGACACAGCTTCTCTTCTCCAACTCACTCCTCTCACCCCAACCCTTGACTTGTGTTTTTGTTTTTGTTTTTTTTTTAATGTCAAAAGGTAGAAAACCTAAATACACATCAATATGTTGACATCAGCTGGCTTATCCAGGACCAGCTTTGGAACGGTCTTGCCCTTTCCAGAGGCTTTCTCTGAACTTCCCTCCTAAGAATATGCCAGAATGGCAGGAGGGTTCCACTCTGCTGG